TATACTTATATAAAAGACAGAAAAGTTATAAAAGGTGATGTAGATAATATCATAGTAAATTTAATATCTCTCTCGTAAGCTTTTGGATAGAACAAGATGGTTTATTGAGGATTAAGTAGTCTCCAGTAGACAAATTATCATGGGAGCTAGATATAGCTTTTTTGTGTAATAAATGAATACTTAAGGTTAATCATAGGAAACTAGTCTTAATGGAACGTTTTTTGAAAGGCTGAATTGTAAGTTTTTTGGAGCTGCTGCTTGCTTTTTGAATTTCAATTAAGCTTCTTGAAGTTTGTTCTATTTTAATTTGAATCTTTTGGTTCATTTTAATTATTATTTCTTATAGGTTCTTTCTATGACTACTGGATGTGTATCCTAATATAAAACAATTCAGGTCTAGTAGGAATCGAACCCTCATCCCTGGACTTTCGAACTCTGACTTATTCACTAAACCAAAGAGACTTTACTTTTGGTCTGGAAATTTGCATTAATAAGGATTAGTTTTAAAGATTTAGTTCAGCTTCAATACAGCACAGACATAAACAGAAAGGTCAAAATTCATGCCATGACAAAAAAACAGCTAAACCATAAAATCGAAAATCATTCAAAATGACAAACATGATAGTCAACATTTTATCGTAAGGACATGTCAAATGTCTATATTACGTAGCTTTTAGGAATAAAATATTCCGCAAGAATCATCAGTAATTTCCCTCATACAACCGCCGTCTTATTTAATGATTTAATTACAAAATATCTTGAGTCAAGTTAAAGTCTTTTTTGATTCCCAGAAGGACTGATAACAACATGGTAGCTTGAATGAATTGTGTAGGAACGTCAGCATTAATTATTTCCAAAGCTCTTCGCAGCAAGAGGATGAAAAATTTATTCTCCTTTAATTCCTCATCTTTCTTAAAATGTTAATTTAAAAAAGCTCAAGACAAGCCAAAGAAAAATAATTGAAAGCAATTCTTCTCACCTGAGGGCAAAATCAAGGAACAGCCGAAATTTTTCTCAAGCATGCCTCATTAAAATATCTGTTAAGGGGAGGAATGAGAATCAAATTAAAATATGACCCACTTTCAAAAATCTTTCCTTTGCCGTCAAACGGAATGTGATGTGATGTTATGTACGAGAAAAAAACAAGAATTTGTAGAAATAATGAGGAAAAATCTGCTCCCATTCATTCAGTTTCGTTTTGCCATCTTCAGAGATTTCTTTTCTTTTTTTTTTATTAACGATCCTTAAGCATCAGAAATATTTGCGCGAATAGACATAAATAGAAGAAATGAAATGAAATGAAGACAACAATGGAGATTTTCTTTCCGGTGCGCAGCAAAAGCTCCTACACAACGTCTTTTTATTAAATAATATCATCAGAGCTGTTGATTATTTGTGCCATGACAATTTTGCAGTTCTACTATTCATGTATGTCCCTCTCCTCTCGAGAGATTAAAGCAATCTGCTTTCCACAACACGAACAAGGAAAATTTTAGAAGCAAAAACCGACACACGGCAATAATAGGGAAACTGAAGCTGCTATGAATCCTTGCTCTATCTCATACACAAATAAACTAATTCTTTTTCTTCTTCTTCCTTTTGTCTTTTATCTCTCTGCAGTTTTTATTTTATTGTGTTGAATAACATTTGGTTGTGTTGTTCCTTTTGTCTTCTTGATTCTGTATGGTGTGGGAATTGTGAAGTGGAAACTGATTATCTGGCAGTTTATCTACAGATGTTAGGTCTTTTAAGGTTATGAATTTTGTTGGATTTTTTTGTCACACAAGAAATAGCGTGCTGGATGTTAGGTCAACGCTGAATCAACATCAAGTCATAACTTAGTGCCAGTTGTATCCTCTTGACCAGATTTTGATATTTGTGATCGGTTTGTAAGGCTCCCCTGAGCACCCTCATATGAATCAAACCTCATCACACTTGAAGAGTTCCTGACTACCGAAAAAAGCTACTTTAGCTAGCAAGTCCTATTTTCTAAGCCAATTAACATCATCTCATTCTCCTGTACACCCATCAAACTCTGAATATTAGAATCAACACCTAAATGCACTTTAATTTAACATCCTATCGACTTCCTTACTCATTCTTCTTATTTCTCTCGACAAGAGTATGCATGAAGATGAAATAAATGGTCGCATAGCTACATATATAGCCATTATTATAATGCATAACAACATAAAAAGGATAAAAAATGATGTTTGTGCTGTTTCTGTATGGCGCAAACATTTAACAATGAATCTGTGTTACTCAATGGCTGTTTTCTTTTTTTTGTTGAATGAATGAATGAATGAGAAAAATAAACCTGGATGTGCACGAAAGGATAGAATGGCAAATACACGTAGATAGAGCTGAATTTGAAATATAAATGACATTATAGATATGTAGATGCATAAAATATCATAAATTTCAAAAGATTTTTCCTCGAGAATGCTTGAATGTGGCTTTATAAACAACATTTACGGTAAAAAGTTCCTGTCTCTCTCTCTCGTGATGGTAATGGCTTTGATAATCTGAATAGTTTATAATTGTCGTTTACTTGAAGCTGCAAAGTTAAGAGTTACTTACTGTTTTTATTTATTGTACATCATGCGAGGTAAATAAGTTGAGAAACTTGCAGCTTTCATTCAACGATCACAACTCATTATTTTAATGGTGGTTGAGGATGGAACTTATTTTTTGATGAATGGCAAAACTACTTAAATCCTCTCCAGCGTATATCCAGTATAGAATCATATTTTTTATTAGAAAAATCAGAGTTGGCAATCGGGTGGTTTCTAGAGTTACTCTACATTAGCTTCCATACATTAGCTCCTCTACATTAGCTACCCAACCCTAGGCCTCTTTAATCCTAGCTGCAATTCAAAGAAAGGGAGTCCTTAGGTACCAAACAACTTAAATTTTGGTTCCTTGGGTACACTATTGCCATACTTAAATAAACCCAACAAACCTAACCATAAGAAACTAGTGATTAACCATTGTCCTTTTAATTCGACATTAAAAAGTCAGTTGCCATTCCCACCACAACAACTCTGCTAAAAAATAACAGCACAACCAGCACATTCTGCTGTCAACTGCTCGGAAAAATGTTTCTTTTTCCAGCCATTCTTCATTCACTTGCTTTTGTGTGCTTTTGTCGCACGTTTATTAATGAATATGATGAGTGAGCTTTTTCATTCTGTCTTCTCTTACATTGTACGGTGTAACAACAATACGAATGGCAATTAAGTATTCATTGTGCCTACACAAAACATCCAGACATGTAGCATTTTAATGAGAGAGATTCTTTTTTTCGTCAAAAGAGCGACTTTAAAATGTGAATCAATTCAACCGTAAGCAAAATATTTAAATTTAAACGCAGTTTTCAGCTCCGTTTAACAAGCTTTTTGCTGCTGTGTATGTATGCAAGACATGAAAGGGGGGAAATGAGAATTAACAGGAAAATTTAAAGTGTATGAATTTTTTAGCACTTTTGTGCGACAATCCTCAGAGAATTTTTTACTTTGCAAAGTGGGCTTATATAATTTTCTTCTTTTTTGTCTGTCGATTTGCATTTCATAAATGGATTTTCATGTGCTTTTTGAGATGGAAATCGATATAGTCATGAGAGAATATTTTTTTTTGCATTTTAAATTGGATGTAATTCCACTTAAGCTCACGTCTTAAAAGGAATAAAAAGAATTTTTATATATGTAACTTCAATTAACTTTGAGGTATAAAATTTCATTCTTGCTAAGCTCTCTTCCTAGTGAGCTTTCAGGTATGTAAGCTATGAAATTGGATCAAACAGGTTTGTAGCTAGGAGAATGTTACTGACCTAGGTAAAATCCGGTAAAGGGTCGTTTAGGTATAACAAAACCTTTTTTTATAACCCCCCCCCCCACTTCTTCCTAGTACATACGCAATAATCTTCAATTTGATAACCTCTCCCATAAAAAAATTGAATTCCATTTGGAATAATTCCACCTACGCTACTGGTAAAAAAGTGAGAAAAAGATGAATGTTGAAAAGGGAGCATATAACAGTCTGTCAAAAGTCAACACCAAAGCAAGGAGTTTTATTTAAAAATCAACTGTCAGAGTTGGGAATCGGTTGATTTGAGGGATTTTTGAATCAGACTCCTTGAGGTTTTACTAAAGGATAGAGAACTAGAGGTTGCCTTAAGAACAGGTGGAATAAAGCAACTGAACTTATCCCAAAGTATAACAAGTAGCTTACCTCTGACAATATAATCTGATACATTAACACATTAGAACAGATCAACAGAGGACATCAACACTTACTTCCTTATTTCTTTTGCATACAAATTAATTTTTACCTCTAGCCCGAGTTCGATGGCACCTGAAACTGTCTCTATCACTGACTCACTTGCCAATTCCCAATACCACGTGCAACACTACATATCTCAAATAATAGATCCTCTTATGGCAGTAATCCCCACATCCCAACTCTGAAACAACAAATAAAAAATAAAAAGAGACGAAAAAGTTGAAAAAAGCTTTGAGAAAAAATTCACACCCTCAAAAGTAGCATGTAACATGTACATGTGATCCCATCTTCTTTATAAAGCAGCATTTTATGAAATGAAAAGGAAAAAACTTGTGTGACAAAAGCTTCATTTAGCACACATATACACATATTAGACATCAAAGCATATCAGCAAAAAAAAAAAAAACAGAAATGAGAACGGATAAAAAAGGATATCTAGAAAATAAATTCTTTTTATTTCCTCTTCATCTTGTTGAATGTTGCCTTTTTATCTCGAGTTCTGTTGCTCAGTGAATTGTGAAAAATGTTCTCATTTTATGAGGCACAAAAAAAATGTTTTTCATACGCACCTGAATAAAATTATGTTTAATCCTCTCCATAAACATTTGCCAATTGTAATTTCAATTACGTAGATCTGCAATATAAATTATAGTAAATTACAATATTATTTTTATGTATATGTTCTAATGCTAATACCTTTTTTTTCCTCATTTTTACAGCTTCTGCTTACCGGCCTTTGCATAATAAGCTTGGCAAGGCGACGGAATCGTTACAGTTATTTGGTAAGTGTCGGGTTATGAATAATAATGAAGTGTAAGCATTTGTGAAGGAGGTACATGAAGGAATGAAAGCTTCAACTTGAAAAGGGGATCATTATCCTTTTTTTTTATTTATTCTTTTATTGTGAAACGAAGAAGGACGGTGGACAAAAATGAAGAAGTGAAACTTACCGCTATGAAAAAAAAAAATCACTCGGCAGCGCTAATAAATAGCCTTCAGGCAAACAGGCACACAAAAAAAATATAATGTGAAATGAAAATGAAGTGCCACGGACTAATAAGAGAGTGAAAAGTGCCAGAAAGAAAAGCCAGAAACGGAAACGCAAATAATTTTCTTATGAATGCTTCTATTAAATGAGCCGCGCAAGCAGATAAAAATTTTCCTTTCCTTGTACGCGCGCGTTTAAGCTATACACAGGGATAATAGGACAGGCAAGGAAGAAAAATTCTATGAATTATGCCTTACAAAAAGAGATAAATGTAAGGTCGTAAAATTAAAATATTTTTTATTCTTCTGTTCTGTTCTGTTACGCTCACAACTCTCGCTATAGTCACAAATTGAGGCACACAATGCCTTATAATCCCAATCGTTAGATGAGCACATAAACCTTTTTACATTCTTTCCGTCTGTGTTCTCCATAAAAAGCCATGAATTTTTTTTTTCTTTCTTTGTATAGTCTTGTATATAGGAAGATCTGTGTATGTAACACTACGCAGTGATTTATGTTCCTTGCCATTATTGTTATTGCTGTTGTTGTTCCTATTATGATTATTATTTTTATTATTTCATCTTCTAGTTCTATTGCAATTTATGCCTGTTGTATTATTACAATAATTTAATACATCATCCTTATGTATACATACAAAGGCATTGTTCTATAGTGAATAAGTGAATTTGAAAGATAATTATGGCATCTTAATAACATAATTAAATCATTACTCATCTTTTAGTCTTCTTCATACACTCTTATAAGAGCACATAGAGCAGGGATGTAGCTGAAGGTTTCCTTTTTTTAAAAATTTAAGGAAGCTCGAATTTTTTATTATAAAAACGATAAAAACCCTAGAAAATTAAAGAAAATATCCATTTAATTATGAGTTTTGACCCCCTGACTCCATCCCTGCAATCATAAATCTAATATTAAATTGCACGCACACAAAAATTTCCATTAATTTTCCATCATTATTGCATTATGGCATGTGAAGATGGCAATGACTACACAAATGGTTGTTAGAAATGATATCAAGGTCATTTATCAGGATATTTCCTACATGGCTTACTCTCTTTATTTACGAAAATGACTGCAAAACGAGGAACTTTATACATTAAACATATTGACTATGACCTACATTCATTATCTCACTCTGTATCTCACAATAAATATATTTCCTATATAGTTCTCAATCTATAAGTTGCGGTAATGAATAACCTCAAGCAGCGGATATAATAAAGTGAAATGTAGATGTATGTATGGAACAGGAGATAGAAAAATAAGAATGCTGAAGGAATTCTAGATATTTTCATTTCCACAATAATAATGTCTATTTGTATTTTGAGAAAATAAAGGCAGTATCTAGAGTAATGAACCTTTCATAACTAAATGGAATTTAATTAATTTACGGATGAATTCTTAAGAAAGAAAAGAAAAAGTTTAAGAAGATAAAGCTTGAATATTTTGCGAATGCTGAGAGCAGGGATGTAGTCAGTAGTATTTTGACGTTGTTTGGCATTTAAACGGGGGTTAGATTTGATCATATTGAACCCCGTTGAACATCATTCAATCCAATTGAAGCTCATTCTACCCAATTGGATCCTCCTGTATCTCATTAAAGCAAGTTTTTCAAAAATACTCTGGCCATGTTCTTTGGTATATCCTAAAAGCTTCAAAAAATCAGTTCCTGATTCCATCTAAGATCCAAATCTTCTCACGCTGTGAAAGCTTTCACGCAAAAAAGTTTCTTCTTGGTCAATATTTTTTCGCATTAATTTAATGGACCTGTCTGTTCGCTTGTTCATTCAAACTTACTTCATTTTTATCCGTCATCCGTCGGATTATAACCAAACTGCACCACTCGAGAATCTCATTCTACATTCAGCACCATCAAGTCAGATAAGAAATTCTCAACATGAAGCTTTTATGTCCTTGACATTCCAACATCTACCGCAAATTTTTATCTCCAATCAAAACTTAATCGAATTTTTTTTCTTTTTGAAAATCTTACAGATAAAGTTATCAGGAGCTTGTAGTTTAGCATCTGCACTGACTTGTGCCTTGGTAACGGTGACGACAACAGTCATTCATATGAGTCGTTTGCAAGCATTAAGAGAATGTCAATATACACAGAAGACACGAACATGCACGTGCTCCTCAACTTTGTCAGAATCAGATGATTTGGATGACAGTAGCGGAGTTCGATTTGTATTCGATGCTACGACAGACTGTAGTGTAGTTCATGGTGCTCTTTATTCGTGTTTGAGAGCTGTTTTTGGACTGTCTGTTGCTGGCGTTTTTGTTGCTGTATTCAGCTGTATGCTTGTTTACCAGTTGCTAAGGTGAGATAATGATATATGATGTGAAGTTATTAAGTTCCTACGTCTTTATTTTATTGTTATTATATTTTTATACTCTTGTTTTCTTTCGTGCAGTCATGAACGTAAAAAGATGTATTGGGAACAATTAGAACTCAGATGTAGATCATTATATTCAGGTCCGCCACTTCCACCACCCGGTCCGGCTATTATTGGCACTCCACGTAACGGTTCATGTCGATGCTGTGAACAATGTCATGCACATCGTGCAGCTATTCCTTACACATGGGATGCTGACAGTCGTTTTTGGGCAGCACAAGCTGGAAATTTTTATTCGCCTAACCCGGGTGATGAGGGAAATCGAATAGGAACAACAGGTGGTAATAACCAAAGAAATCGATCATGGAATTGGCCACGTATGCCATGGCAAAGAAATGTCGATCCTTCATCACAAAATGTTCAAGCTCAACCAACAACAACATCACCTACTGGTCAGAGATTTCATCAGCCAATTTCAAGTTCCGATTCACAATATGGATTCACAAATGGACCAGCACCAGAGAATGGATCTGTATCACAACAAAATGGATATAGTGTAATTGGACCGTATGGCGTTTGGGGACCACCGCCACCATACAGTGATCCTAATTCACCAGCTCGACGTGGTCGTTATCAATACATTCACCCAAACATGTGCCATCAAAATATTATAGAACAACATATCTCACCGAATCAACCGATTCTAGATTGTCATCAGCAGCATTCATCATCTGCAACTGATAGTCATTCAGAGCAATTTTGTACACAAGCAAATGTACAAAATCAACAACAAACGACACCGCAGCCACAACAACAACAACAGCCACAAAGAAATCCAATTAAGCGACAAGCGCAATTTAAAAGCAAAGAAAATTATGAAAATACGCCATCAGATAGCGACGGTGGTCCACGTGATAGATTTTCAAATACACTTCCAACACGTAAAACGAAGAAGCGAGCAGATGTTGTTGCTGCAAATAAGAGTATTGGCCCAAATAATCCGCAACAAAGAGCGAATGTACAAAATGTTTTCAATAACCTTCAAGCTGACTCAAATAATCAGTCTGAGGTGTCGGAAAATGAATATAATGAGCCAACACATCCGAATACGGAGGCGTCATCGATGAATCCAACGCCACAACATGTGAAGCTGAATAATAATATAAATAATAATAATAATAATTCTAGTAATAATTCTAGCAGTAGTAGCAGTAACAATAATAATATTATTAATCCTAATAATAATGCGAACAATGTTCGACGAGCTAAATTGGGAATCGAGAATACAGGCTTTCAACCTATAGACGTGCTTGAGCAGGGTGAGATTAATGGAGAATCGGAAGTCTATTTTGCAGATGTCAGTAGCTGTTGTAATGTTTCAGTGAAAAATGACAATTATTATGAAGATGCAAATCAACGTCGTCCACCGAACGTTGATAAAGCCGATGCTGATGAATATTTATCACAACGGTTTGGCAATCGTGAGCCATCGACACGTAGTCGACTTCCATTTCCGCAAATGGTGTCAGAAGACTTTGAAAAGTCAGGAAATAAGCAAATGAATACTAATAGTAATAATAATAATAGCAACAACAATGGTGGCAATTTACAACCACCGGCTATACCCGCACCACGAACATCAATTATGCAAAAGGATATTTCACGTCAAAGCATGTGCTCAATTGATTCTAGTGAGAAAACTGACTTTACAGATCTCTCGCCAGCCACGCCAACCGCAACATTTCAATCATATCCGGTGTGTAATAAGCAACAACCTACCGTAGATGGCTATCAACATCAACAGGAGAATTTTGTTGCATCATTTCCATACAATGAACAAAGTCAAGAAGCTCATCGGAGGTCGACCAAAAATCTCCAAGACATTTTCCTCTCGAATGATGCGCAATATGAGACAATTAAGGACTCAAATCAGTATGAGACGACACCATTGACATTGAATTATGAACTAAATCATGACATTTCATCATCGTCGATATCGTCGAGTAGTTATAGTAACAATAAATCATCGCCAATTCACTACTCGCATGGCAGTACACCAACAAAAACGATAGCGTCAACGACAAAAAGCACAAATGCGACACCCATCAAGAGACAAAATCTCGGAACAAATATCAGCGCAATTATTCAAAATCTTAGTGGTAATGATATTAGTCTTTTGTATCCAGAGAATACAAATAACGGCACTAATATGACACAGAGTCCTCTCCATAAGCAGAAACAAGACTGTAATGATGTAATTAATAGTAACATAGTAGTAAATAGCGAAAAGCAAAAGGAATGGTCCGAGATAAATGGAAATGACCGACGTATGTGAGATGAAATTAATGTTTAGATGAGCTCATCATCATAATCATCTTTTTCCGCTCTGTCTTTGTGGCTACTCGACATATTCTCACTTTTGGGGATGTTTTGTTTATTACGTTATGGATATCTTCCTCCCCACGCGTCTAATTGTTTTAAAATTTTGGATGAAAAATTATTTGTTTAAATTGTTCCGAAATTTCAGACCCCCCCCCCCCCCGCCCCCTTAAAAATAAACGTAATAATTAAACGAGCCCCTTTCTTCCATGCATAATTATGTGTATGTAAAAAAAATTCCTTCCTTAATTTTACTGTGCATGAAAAAGACAACAACAACAAAAAAAAAAGTTCTCAACATAATGAAATTGTATCAAAGACAAATTAAGCATAATTAGATATGATGGTTGGGGAAATGGAAAGAGACAAAAAAATTTTTTTTGGTTAATAAAATTAAAACTCATCCATTGAAGCGACGATGGTAGAACTGAGATGTGACAAGTGATGAATTAGAGGCAAAACTTTTTCTTATTTTTTGGTAATTTATCCTCCAACCTCCCCCCTCAACTGTCTATCCCCTCCATCAAATTATTTCCATTTTTATAAACAAGGCTTTGTAAATTGCACACAAAACGAGGACGACGACGACAACAAAATGATGAATCAACTTTTAATTACTTCATAATTTAGTTAAAAATAATTTTTGTGTCGTCAATGAGGAGGAATCGCTCCATCCTAATTTTTTTATATAATTTCGGTCTATATGATTTAATATTCAACTCATATCGTAATGATTTTTGTTGCTGACGCTTTTATTTTGTTCGTTCATTGCTTATTTAATGGCATCAGGGATTGGTAAAGCGGGGGTATACTGAAAATTAGTATGGAAAATTTATCTATCATCATTTATTTTTGCTGATGGGATTCGACGAATTTAAAGCAGAAGAAAGTTCTATCACGTATATATTGTGATATTAGAATTATCATTCAAAGGGTTCAATAAATAAAGGGATATATTAGGGAGGTAGATTATAAAAGGATAAAGAATTTCATACCTGAAATGGAAGAATTTTGATGTTGTAAGGGTTTAAAGAGATTCAATAGGAAGGTTTGATGGGTGCTTTGATTCCTTAAAATTGGAAAAGTAAGAATGAAAGGTTGAACTTAATGAATATTTTATGTAAAGTTATCATCACTTTTTATTGAGAGAAGACTTACTAGGTTGTACGTAAAAATGGGACTCGGTGGCATTCTTCGTTCAACTTGCAGATATGCTGTTCAAATTTATTCGAAAAATTCATTTCAAGGCATGAAAAAGTTTGTCATCCTACAGGAACATTAGATTAATTCTTAATAAATTTTAAAAAATTTAAATTTTTCCCATGCAAGTTTGAATATTTTCACCCTCTTCCTCTTAGCTCTCTTTATTTCATCTCACATCAGGGGCGTATTTAGGAATTTGAAGAGAGGGGCACAAAAAAAGCATATTTAGAATTTTTTCAAAAAACCCTAGCAGAATGAAGAAATTTCAATTCCGTTTGTCACATAACCCCCCTCCCCCCACGATCAAAATCGCTGTCTACATTGCCTGTCATTTTAACACCCCTAAACTGCATCAAAGCATAAACGAGCCTTTCAATATTATAACAAAAATATTTTAATTGCATAAATTCAAACAAGCACTTCTCGAAAAGTCGATAAATTTATGTAAATTTATTATTGAATATTTTTTAATTTTTAAAATAAATTTTTCCTGAACTTTACAAAATGATTGCCAATTCATCTCACATCGTCAGCTATAATAAATCATGATAAATGTTAAAACAAAAGTTTATAATTAATAAGTGGGGGCAGTTTACAAATGACGTTCATCATTTAAAGTGTTTAAGATAGGTGTGGAGCTTGGGGAGGAAATTGATGAAAATTTAAGATTTACTATGGATTTTTTAAAATTATTCCCAAACCTCCTATCCTTAACAGAGTCCTCTTACTCCCTCGCGTATATTTTCCATAAAATAAAAATTAAATTAATGATGTACATCATTAATGAACAACTCCTAAATAGCCCACGCATCGCAAAATACCAATCCCTGTATAATAAAATACATCAAATGAGAATAATAAAGGCAGATGAAAGTTGAAAGCTCAGAACATACTAAATCATTTGACTCACTTTTATTCAACGAGATAACTTCGTAGACAATTTATGTAAATTATTTTGAATGTTTTTTATGTTTGTTATTCAATCCTTTTTCCTGTAACTTACAAGCAGTCTCTTAGTTCTTACATGTATATTATAGAAGCGAAATGGTAAAAAAAAACAGAACCATAAATAAAAAAGCATTTTTGTTAGATGAAAAAAAAAATAATAAAAATAATAACAATAATGATAATGAGAAGAATGAAGAAGTTGGAATGAATATAAAAAAAAAGATGAAAGAAGAATAAGAATAACAAGAAGAATCCATTATTTAATTTAAATTCATGGAAGAGAAATGTTCATTAATTCTGTTACAAAGAAATCCTTTTATGTAAATTGTTAAGCTCGCAAAAATAACAATATACATAAATATTAGTTGAGCATGGAAATAGTTGAAATAAAAAATTATCATTCATTTTTTTGCTAGTTGAATTTCAACTTTTTTTTTATAAGTTTATAAAGATTTTGTCAGAAATGTTCAACTTTTTAATTGAATTTTTAAACAAAATTGAAGAATTGTGTAAGACAGCAGGGCAATTGGACTGTCTTGAGCGGCATTGTCTAAGCTTAAGGTATTGAGTTCTTTTATTTAAAAATTTTCAAATTAAGAGTTCAATCTTAATTGCTCATATTGTTATATCTCAAATTTAGGAAACAAAGCTATATTGGGTAGAATCTCCTAAGTCATGACTTATGAGGAAAATCTGTGTGATGAACGAGTTCGATTCCTAACAAAAACTTCAATTTAGTCGATTAGACTTCATATAAAATTCATATCGATTTCAAATCTTAAAGATAAATAAATGCAGCCAACACAGCCACTAAGATTATATCATACATAGATTCAATTACCCTTTGAAAATATCTTCAAGTCACCATAAAGATTATTTATGCTGAAAAAAAATATTTCCATAGTTTTTCACCGAAATTCGAATCCTTAACCTTCCAAAAAAAAGCAAAGTCAGCAAAATAAATTTATGATTTAATAAAACTTTCTATTTTCATGACAACAAAGAAAATATCCATTTACATCATGCCATTGACGATATTTTCGCCTTCACAATTCATTATTTGGCTTCTGTTCCTTGAAAAACAACAAAGAAACAAAAGAACATTTCAATTCATAAAAAGTGTCATATTTTCACTTGAGGTACTTCCGAAAACAACAAAAATAAAATTGTATTGGACGCATGAAATCTGACAAAATGTTCCAAAGATCTCCCCTCGTTACGCTGCCTATTTACTTATTCACCTTGCCATTACGATCCTTTTTTTCGAAAAAAGAGAAGGAAAGAAAAAAAAGTTTCATTGAAATTAATGAAAACGCTTTCGATGTTTCAATTTAATTACATTACTTTCATCCATGAGAAATGCAAATTAATTAATAAATTACCATTTAGTTCCGGGACAATGAAAGTAATGGAATGAAATCCTACCCCTCATCTGCCATTTCTTATTCATTATCTTTTCCTTTCTCTCTGTCTCAATGTCTTCCACTTTTTGCTACGGCAAACTCGACATTCTTTTTATCTTTCGTTATTATTTGGCTCGAGTCGACTTCTCTCTCGGCTCTTTGGTATCGAAAGCACCGTGAGGAGATTAAGGGAAAAGCAATTAGGAAGTTAAATTTTTTTTTCTTTCTTATTCTGAGAAAAAAAGATGGAAGTGAAAAAAAAATTATCATTATCGTAAAAGCGTTTTTTTTCTTCATTACTTAAAAAAAATCTTTCCTTATATTCCTGGTGCTTGTTGGCAACAGAAAAAAATTTATGATAATTTCCCATCAAGAAGAGAACAGAAAAAGAAAAGTTTTCATTGCTTGGATAAGAAAATTATGCATTTTGTTAGGCATAACATTTGCCTTGACTAACTGCGTGTATATCATGAGAAAATAACAGAACTGTTGAGGGAAGTTCATGAGTGATGTCTTGGCTTGATGGGAGGTGAGATGTCTACAGCTGTACCATGTTAATTGAGGATATTGAGATGGAAGATTGAGGCAGCAGTCAGGGGTCCTTCAAATTTTGAATTAAATTCTAAGAAATTCTATTGTTTTAGACTTAAAGAACCCCCCCCCCCCCCCTCCCCCTCTTTTTCCGTTTACTGTAATAAAATATTTCCTGTAAGTCCGTCAATGATATGAACCGCAGTTTCCGTTGGTACCTTCCACCAACCAGGCGCGTAGCCAAGGGGGGCATTTGGGGAGCAAATACCCCCTTCAAATTCTCAGCTACTTCCCTGGCTTCAACTTAAGAAAGGTGGGCTTACTAAAGAAAAAATTCAAAAATTAGATGTTCCAAATATTTTTAAAAAATCTCTTATTTCGAAAATGTTGAAGTTTCCAAGCCAAAAAGAGAGTGCCGTAGACCCGTTTGGACATATTAATTTCAATGCCATCATTTATGATTGCCCCACTCACAAAAAAATTATGAAGAAAAAATTGCTTTATTCATAAAAAATAAGTCCCCAAATAAAATTTAGATGAGATTTTTATACATTCAGTTAAATGTTTAAGGAGCTGTTGTACGCAAGGAAAGGGACACAATGGGATCCTTTTAACATGGATTCGCTATTTTTTAAAACTTTTTTATGTTTGTTAAAAAAATTATTCCTTAAAAACAGAATTAATGAACGATTTAATAGACGGATATTAATATTAAGTAGATATACGCTTAGTTCTCATTTATGAAAATTTATTTTTTAATTTTTTATAATTTTATACTTACTTCTAAATTTTTAAGTGGAAGTGGATGTTTGTATGAAGTGCTTTGATGCAGCTTTATTTGACAAATATATGAAAATCTGTATTTTAAGTCTATAAGGTTATTTATTTTGGAAAATGTAAAAGTAAACGGAAGATTTGTCGTGCTGCTACCTTGAAATTTAACGAGATTTATTTTTGGAATTCTGAATTTTTATTTGGAATTTTTTGATGATAAATTGAATTATTTTAATAAAATATTGAAGACAAATGACGCTGACATGCATCTGAAGTACATCATTTGAGGATGTGAGAATTTGACTAAGGTACACTCAATTAGGGTATGGAAAAATTACTCAATTTAATTTAAAAACGTTAAATTAATGAACTATCTTCAAACATAAGCACCATCAAAACCTAAAACAATTCATACAACCATCCACAACCACCACCCCCAATATTTCTTCCAATAAATTAAGTTAGATATTATTTAGCAAAAAAACATGTAAAAAGAAACTAATGTGAAAAAATTGTATCAAAAAACATAAAATAAAAAAATAAAAAATTAATTTAATTAGAATTTGAGGCGCAGACAATATTCAAAGAGATAAAAAAAAACTTACATTTATGAAATGAAAAATTTTTCCTTTTATTTCTTCTTTTCTTGAAAATCTCAAATAGAGCGAAAAAATTGTGGAACGAAGACAAGCTGAAAAGTTTCCCAAGTGATTGTTATAAATTTTAAAGGAAATACAAGAGAAACGAAACAGAACAAGAAAGTTTGTGTTAAATCTGAAAAATAAGATATTGATTCGTTCGACACAGAAAAAAAATTTCTTTTCTTTCAATTTTAAAAATTTTTATTCTAACATTTTTTTCACTTTACACAAAAAAATAAAAAAATAAAAACATGAAGGAAGAAGGAAGAATGTTGCTTGAAGCATAAATTATTCACACAGAACATTTTTCGCCTCATTGTTGTTGGCTCAGGGGTGTATCTAGACCTCCCTCCCCCCTGTTCAGATTACAAAACATACAGTTGAGTATGGGAACCTCTAAAAGCCCGTAAGTTGTTGCCAACAAGCACGAGGAATAAGAATAAAGAAAGTAATTAATGCTACCAAGCAACAGATTTTCTTTCAATTTTTTAACAGCAAAAAAATTATTTTTTTTACATTTTAAACATTCTTTTAATTTTTTCCTTCCTTTCCACGTAGACTTTAGGTGTATACACAAAAGTTTCTATTTCATTCAATTTCTCTTCTTTTTAGAGAATGAAAAGAAAAGCATAAAGAAAAAATATTATTATTATGAAATAAAAAAAAGAAGGAAACAAAAAATAAAATTATAAGAAAAAAAAAGTGGAAAAAATAAAAAAAAATTGTAAGAGAAATAAATGAAAAATTATATTTAAAAAGGAAGTGCTACCTCGAAGTGTTTTCAATCTTTTTTTTACAGTAATTTTATTGAAGCAGCACCAAGACATAAAGCGATTAACGAGAAGCACGAAAGTATGGTTGAAGCTTTCGAAGGGTCGTTGTCTGGCTTATTCTGATGCTTATCATTATCCCCTATCTCATTCTCCTTGATAAGATCTTCTTCCTGTTTCAGCTCATCGAGGGTTATGACAATTGCATCATTGAGTGTCCTTAATAGAGGATAATTCTTTTCGGTTCTCTTTGGAATATTTAATTTTACTTTAGGCTCTGCTCTGTAATCATTGAATGTATCAAAGTTTATCTTATCGTCGCATTCACCTAAGAAATCGTCTGTATCGACCGACCTAAAAAATAGAAAAAAAAATATTTTATAAATTATGAACGAAAATTGATATTAGAGCACAGCTTACCAGACCATTACACCACCGAGACCCTTTTTCATTGCATAACGAACTTTATTAGCGATTGAACGTGGTGAGTCGTAAGACACGACTCGTGTCTCATTAGCTAATTGAACTTTTGCTAATGCTTCTGATGATTCAACATCCCATTGTGAATTCCATTCTTCACTCGTGCTGCTAAGTGCTTGACAAATTTCATTGTAACCCATGAATCCGTTTTCTCGTGTAAATGGCCCGGGAAATCCTTTATCATCACTAACATCACCGAGATTTCCATCTTGTGTTGTTATAAATGTACGTCCATAAAATGGCAATCCTAACATGAGCTTTTCGAGTGGCGCACCAAGCTTTATGAAATAATCTATTGAGAATTCAACATTAAGCTCATTGTCATTACTCAATGGTGCATTTAGACCAATCTTTTTATCCCAAGCTCCAAAATAATCGTAGCACATGATGTGCATCGAATCTAAATATGGTGCCAACTTTTTAACATCATATGCAGCATCAATTGTCTTTTTTCCAGCTCCAAATGCTGAACTGAGATAAAGCTTTTGCTTTTTGAATTCTGTAGAAAGTTCCTTTACTAAAAGTACAAATGCTTCCTTATCTTGTGGTGAACCGCCTCTCTGTAGAAGGAAATGGAAAAGTTTATTTTCAAGAATACTTTAGTTTTGGGGTCAGTCTGTGGATTTTATTTTAAAAATTAGCCACAAAGAGGTTGACCGGAAACATTTGATGGATTAATGAGTGGTTAGTAAGGAAGACCATTATCAAAATTTGATTATTTTAGTCAAAATTTATTTAAAATCTCATTTTTAGTATAACATGATCTCCTTATAAAGTCACTTAACCTCACCTGTGTTGGATACCTAAACATGAGGACAAAAAAATTCAAAATAAGTTCAAATTCATTTAAAACAAAATTTAATAGAGTTTACTCCCAGTCCAGATCTAATCCATCGAAATTGTGCTGCTTAATGTAGCTAACAGATTGCTTAACAAATTTTCCTCTTCTGGTTGGATCACCTGCCATGTCTGAGTAATTCCGAGAGCCCTCATTCCACCCGCCAATTGCCAACAAAACCTTCAAGTGTCTGTGAGTTTTCTTATAGTCCGTCAATCTTTTGAAGCCTGCTTTTCCACCGCCATCCTCTAAATCTTGCCAGGGATCTGTTGAAAGAGAATTAAATTAAATATTTGCTGTCATTTTTTTTATATCCTTAACTTTTTTTTATGATTTTTATTAAAAGAAAAAATTTCAAGCATAAAAACAGCTATCAGCACAACAAACAAAATTATAATGTGAGGAAAATAGCTTCCAACCAAAGAAACACTCAACATCACATTCACTCAAAAAAAAAAATACAATAGACAGGAAGAAGCGTTAACATTTGCATCCTTCGGTTGGTCGCTTTCACTAAAGTGCATAATAATTTCTTTATTGTATTTGATGACGACTTTTGTTTAACTTTTGTGGAGAACTTCTTTTTTTTGTGTTGCTTCATATTGGATGTTCGCCTTACGGGTTGTTTTGTCTCTCAACAATAGCTCTATAGAGTTTTGCTCTATCTCTTCTACTTGTGGTGGATGTATACATAAATGGAAGAATGAGATCTACATAAAAGAGAGGTTTCTATCTTCCTGTAACTAGATGAAAGATTGTGGAAGGATGTGCTGACGAAGAATAAATAGTTGCTGTGAAGGGTCATTGACTTATGACATCTAGCTTTAAGACATGAGGAGGGGATTAGCTTTGTCACAAATAATGGTGGATATAAAGCTTGATTATTGAACTGTTAAAGCTGCATTGAAAAATATATTTCTATGGAAATGTATTTTATAAGGAATTGCAAAATGATTCAAAACCTCAAAATGAGTTTTCAGAAGATTTTTCACGTCCCCAAAAAATCAAACTCCTCCAAAAAAAATTCTCATTTTATTTTGTGTTCAAAGCCTTTTTGTGTGAAGTGTTTTATGAAAAAGAAAGAAAAAACTTTAAGCTTTATGCTTTTTATGAAAATTATTGTAAGCTTTTTGATGGAATTTTGTAATGAAATTTTTGTAAACTTTTGGAGGAATTTTAGAAGTTTTTCTGTGTTTCATATCCGCTTATAACTTTTCAGAATTTTTCACATCCGTTTTTAACTTTTTTGTGATGCTTTCAAACGAAATTAAATATTAATAAGTTCATTGTTCTCTCCTTTAAAGTCGTAGAATTCTCTTTTGTGAAAATATTTTCTTGTGTTTAAATTTAGGATTGTTTTTAAATGATGTTTATTGTTTGAAGGGGGGAGGGCAAGGGGATTGAAAATACATTTTTTAATGGCAGTCCTAAAATCTTGATACTTTTTATGATTTTACAAATCCATCTCCCCCTCCCTCCTTCTCTTATCCAGTAATGTATCAAAATAAATCGGACCACAATCTCGAAAAAGTCCCGAAAAGCTTTAGCTACATCACATGCTCTTAAATGATAGACGTCAGCAGTTACTATGCCATTTAAATCAGAATTCATAAGTTCATTAAAATTGTAATAAGCTTAAGAATCTCTGTTATTAGGTAGAACATTCACAAGAGAAAAACAATTCAAAGTCATTCAACTTGCCAGCATTTTCTTTTTTCAATCAACAAAGAAGCAAATTCAGACTCTTCAAATTCCATTGTAAACTTCAAGTTGGATCTACCTTAATCTTATTATAACGTGCTTGAAGCTAAATAAATCAAGTTAAAGCTAATCTTATCATAAATTATAAGCATTGATTTTTTTTTGAAAAATCTTAATCCAATAGCTTAATTAATACTTTCGCAAACTCTGAAATCCGCAATTTTATTCTTAAATCCACACAAAGAATATCCGATCCAGCAATAAATTTTATAATCAAACAGCTCCATTCATAGTGTAAATGAATCAGAAATTTAATTAAGCGTAAAAATGTTCTTGTCACTTGCCTCCAAAGTTTAATTTATGAAGCGCCACGATACTTTTTTTTTTCAGCAATTTGTCAGATTGCTTATCGCATATTTTTTATTGTAAATGATATCAAGTGCTTGAAACATCAATGTCAATTCCAAATATTTTATTTTTTTTATATCAATATTGTAAGCGTTGATAGTAGGCAGCAGCAAAAAGCAGCTTCGCGCAAGCAATTACTAGTCACGGATCTGGAAGTCAGAGGGGTAGAAAGGAGAGGATGGGTCGACTAGACTCACTAAAGAGAAAGAGAATTCCAATGCAAGGGGACTCAAATGTTTGATTAAATCCCAACCTTGCTCCGTTCCTGCTGACAGAATTGAACAGAACAAAAAAACTCTCAAGCGACTTTGGAATGTAGAAAAAACATTTTCAACAATAGATTTTCATCCCTTCCTCTATTTTCAAACCCATTCCAATGAAACTTTATCACTTACAGTTTCATATCTCCATGACAACTTTCTTGATATCTTCTTCCTCTTCTTCCCCGTTCAGTTAATGCGATGTAACATTAAGCACAATTTCATCCTCACTCCATCACTTCTCATCCTTATAATTCTATCGGTTTATGCAAAAAAAAAGAAAACCATTGAGAAATTTCAATTTGTCAGAGATATTTTCGCTGGAGATAAGAATGGCGGTAATAAATTTCATCATACAAAACTAAGCGCCTCATCTTCAACAATCGTATACACCTTGAGGATATTCTTCACTTTTTGTTCAAGTGACAATGACAACGACGTTGACTTTCAAATTAATAATTATTTTAGTGAAATAAATGTTTCACCACTTAAGAATATTGTGAATTGAGTGAGGAAGCTGGGTGACGAAAATAAATGCCTGTCATAATGCCTTCGAGAGTGATGAAAAATGTTTAACTCAAATTTTAATTAAAACTTAACCCAGAATTGTCATTTAACAGTTGCTTAAGTACACATTCATTCTTTAACATTGTGGAAGCATTATTGCATGAAAAATACGATTTTATGCATGAATGTTGGGTTTGTATGCATATAGAGCTAGTCATGAAATGAGCTAGTTTATATTTTAAATGTTCACCTGTTCCTTTAGATGGATTTTATTAGAAATTTGACTAATTAGCATTTTGATGCTTACAAAGATAGGATTTAATAGCATAACAAGGCATTGAATAAAAATCTGGCACCAAACTGGCATGACTCTGGTATTATGCTGGCTTCGATTTAAATCCAGCAACATACCAGAGTCACACCAGCTTGGTACCGGATTTCTAATCGACTAACCGACTTGTGCCATTCAGGAATGTTACAATTAGATTACCGGAAAAAGGCTGAAAAATTTGATTAAAGCAGAAATTTCGAATTATAATCTGTCCTAGCCATAAATCATTCAACTTCCAATCAAATATTTTGCTCCACAAAGTATTCCGGAATATATAATTGAATAAAAATTAAAATATTTTTAAATTAAATTAATCAAATGTGAATAAATTTCTTGCCAAGGATTCATTCCTTCCCCAACAATTTTCATCTCTTTGTGCAATTAAAATTTAACATCTTGGAAGATACAGCATGACTTGCTCCTCTCATTAACATATTAAACGAAGCTAAAAGGTCTTGTGCTGCTTATCAGAGGTCTTTTGCTTCTCTCTCTCTGATGAGAATCTCATCATATTAAATAATTTTCTATAGAAAGTCAGTCCAGTTTTGTTCTCACGACAAGAAAAGGAAGAATTTTTTTTTTAATAATTTGATAACGAAAAGAAGGAAAAAGAATGAATGTATAAAGTATTTAAATCTTTCATCTACAAAGGAATGAAACTTTCTCTCATCTTCTTGTGCCACTGCTTTTTGCCTTGTTAATATTGTAAAATTAATGCAAGTTGATATCTGCAATTTCCCATCTTTGTACAGCTGTACAGGTTTCTTCCTCCTCTAGTTTTTATTTTTCATTAAAAAGAATCCTCTCTCCTGTACTTTATTTGCTTGTTCCTCTTCCGCGTATTTTCTTCTCATCCTTTTGTTATCGTGGAAAATTAAAAAGTGACTTTTCATTATTCACAGCTCGTAGATTCCATTCATATTCTTATGATAATAATGAAAATAAAGTAAACAAAAAAGATGAGATGCACAATAACACGAATAGAGCAGACAAAAATGGCAGGTAGATGATGTTCATGTTGTTCTGTCTATTCTCATGCTTATTTGCATGTAATTTTTCCATCATCAGTTTTTAATCAACATTTTCGCTGCTTTACATCCATTCTTTGTTTGGTATTTTCAATTCATGCATTAAAATTGAAGTTTAATTGAAAGCTGCACTTGTATTTAGTGGAGTTTTTCCTGATTTATTTAGTCTGCTGCATTTTCTATGATTTCCACAAAGAATTTTCACATCGGTCAATCAGAATCAATTCACAGAAAAATAAAAAAGTTGTTGTTGAAACTTGAATGAATTGCAGAACAATTGAAAATGCACATTTTGTGGATGGAGAGGCACAAACTATTCGGAAAATTGATTTGAAAACAATTTGGAAAATTTTAAATCCAACTCATTTCGAAAATATTTCTGTGATTTAGATTTCTGTGGCATCACAATAAATTCTTGTTAGAGGCTTTAAGTGTCTCTGACAACCTCATATACTCACTTCTCATGCATGCTTGTGATACACATAAATATTTTATGGGAAATGAGATAAAAAATTTTTTTTTATTTTTCTTACATTCTAGAATGCAAACTAGCAGGCAAGAAGGGAGGAATCTATGAGATATATCCCGACATGAGACAAGTGTAGCTAAAAATGTTTTGCATATTAAATGAAAATCACCTGTCATGTCAGTGTCAGTGATTTTACCCTTAACGTACATACAATAGCGACATCAACATTGAGAATGAACACAAAAAAACATCCCATAAAAACACACTCATTCAGTGATCCATTGAAAAAATATGGCGACATATATCCCCAAAAACTGATTTTTATTTTTTTTTCGCCATCAATTCGCAATTTTATTCATCACGTTTGATTTTGTTCACCGTTTGTTTGCATTCGAAATGTTGATTGAAGGGATTTGTATGCAGATTACGGTACGTTTAAAATTTATTTATTCAGGAATATAATAACAGGTTCAGCGGAATATATCTCGAGCTCAATGTGCATTCGATTACTTTGTTCTTTTTCACTGCTTTAGCATTTTTTTTCTACATCATCCTACCTTTCAGACATCTAACATCTATGATGGTGGATTTCCCATTAAAAAGTCTCAGTGTTGTTGAATGAGTATTTTGTGATTTTTTTTTAATATCTAGGTTTTATTTTCGGATGTTCTTTCCATTAAGATTGGGTTATTAAACTCGAATATAGCCGCATGTGGTCCTAGGAATAGGTTCCTGTTTCAATACAGCTCAAATTATTCTTTGGCATGAAAGCAAAAGGTCACGTCTAAACCAGGAAAACCAGCAAGCTAGAAACTGTCTAAATATACTTTGGCATACTTTTAGGCATGTCTTTTGCATATCAAAAACTTTTCTCAGTTAAAAATATAGAAGCGAACAGCCACTAAGTGGGATCTTGATGATATAAATCTAAAGTAAAAAACAGCAGTGACAACAACTCTGTCAAAACTACAAAAAAAAAGTGCAGAGTGAAAACAAAAATGGCTATGTTGAGTAGTAAAAGTTCAGGCATGCAACATTGAAAATCAATCCAGAAGCAATTCAATAAAAGAATCATCATTCGAGTTTGTATTTGCTATAACATTTACGTTTTAAAAATGATTTTCAAGTGCTTCATTGCATGTTATCTTGTTCATCAGTGATTTTTTATTTTTATTTTTATTTAACAAATGAATCGTAAAAATTATATCAATCACGTTACATAGTTGTAATTAATTACTGACAATATGTTGTAAAAATATCTATCAGATATGAATGTTATATGAATGATACGCGTCCATGGGGAGGCAACATTGTAATTGGTGATTGTGCTTCGACATATTTTGTTAATGCATCAATATCGACAGGTCCGACTTGATGATTTCGCATATTATCTCTAAGCATTGCAAAATTATCGCCATTTTGGAGTATGAAGTTGTTAAGCATAACTCGGTACCATGTGTCATCCTGAATATCTTCATATCGTGGCACTTCACATATTCTACAGAGAACTTGTAAGGAATGAACACGAGAATATGCTGCTTTTGTCATATTGTATACAACTCTAACACCAGATGTCTGCAAGATACTTGGACTATCATATCTTGCTGAGAATTCAAAAGCTTCTCTTAAGTATTTTCCTTGAATTTCCAATTTATCAATTGTATTTTCAAATGGAGTTGTTGTGACTAAGTTTGAATAAGTTAAAAGTCCAGGTTCCAAACTTCCACGAACACCTCCTGGATTTGTGATTGCAATAGTTGCAAAGGTCCATGCGCCTTCTTCTTTATCCTCTTCAAATGCTGCATAAGCCATTGCATCAGCTTGTAAAGATCCCATCAAGCAGGCGCCAAGATAGCAACCAGAACCAGCTGCTCTAAAGTGTATACTTCCAACGACTCTTTGTCCTTCCCTATTGACTTTTTCCTTCCATGGTTCTAAAGCTTCTAGGACTTCAGCATTTTGCTCGACGTCAGTTCCCAAAAAATGAGGATTTCCATCAAATTCTTGAATAATTCCATTGTCATCAAAATGAAGTCTAATATCACCAACATATTTTGTGTATGCTGAAGCTTGTACAATCAAGACTCTATGACCATCAGTTTGATTCACTATGACTGGATATGAATATGCTGGTTTATCAAGAGGTGGCAGATCGACTCCACTCCACAAGAATGAATGACTATGACCACCAACAATAATATCAATATTTGGACCACCATATTTGGCAATCTCCATGTCGCGTTCTATGCCACAATGAGATACAACCACAATAATGTCTACACCTTCCTCATCTTTTAATCTTTGAGCTTCTTCTTTGACCTTCTCTGCTTCGTTGAAGAATTTTAATTTACCAGTTTTAGCAATTGTATTTGTGGTTCTAAGAATTGCTCCAATCACACCAATTTTACGTCCTGATTTTATTAAGACGACTGACTTCTTTGTTTTATTTTGAAATGTTGGTTCCTCTGAATCGTCAATATTTGCAATTACAACAGGAGTTGCAGTGCGTTCTAAAAATGGAACAATACCATCAATGTCATGATCAAAGTCATGGTTACCAATAGTTTGAACATCAGCTGGTAGCATATTAAGGAACTGATTTGTGACATTCCAACGTCCAATGTTGTACCATAAAGTGCCTTGGAAATTGTCACCAGCATTTAAATAAATTGGATTTTCTCTACTCGCTAAAAGTTCCTTTACTTTTGTCACGACACGCGCGTATCCGCCAATACATTCTTCATCAGGCTTGCAATCATTTGATTGGCGATTAGTTTCGACAAATCTTAAATGTCAAAAATTAAGCCATGTTTTAAAGAAATCAGTATTAATAGATTCTTATCACAAATTAAATTACAATCAAATGATTGATTGGTAAATTTTCGTCCATAACTCAATCACTCACCTTGCATGAAAGTCGTTGATGTGGATTATAGACAATGTGAATCTATCCTGTGAAATTGCATTCTGTCCGAACAATAAAATTATTAAAATTGAGTAATAAATTGAATTACGCATTCTATATTATCCAAAAATTACAACCGACTTGAATGAAAATTAAGAAGCGAATGAAATAAAATTTGGAGAAAATTTTAAAATCTAATCACTCAATTAGCGTCTATTAAGATAAGATTGAACAATTGAATTTATGGCACGATAATAAAGTATTTTTTATGTCACTATATTGAGACTGAAATGAATGAAGTTATCTGAAGCAATCGAAAATCGTAACTGTTGGTAAAGGTCAGCAAAATTTGAAGACCTTCATGAGTACTTCCAGTTGTGAGTAGTTTCTGAGAGTCGAGAGCAACTTAAGAGATTTTCAGTGATTAATTTGATTTAATTGAGAAATGCTTTATTTTCAACGGTTTTAACAAAGTTATTAATTAAATATTTGCAAACTATAGCACAAGACATTAGTAAATCTTAATCTCTTTATTGTTGCATTATCTAAACTTTAGTAAACGAAGGTAATTGCGAGATTTGTGAAATTATATTGTATTAATGATGAAATTTCAATACTTACAATTAATAAGAAAGAAATTAAATCTTGTCAAGCTTTTTTGCAAATTTGAAAGCTTTATGTTAAGAATTAGAATGAGTAAGTTTAATCAAAAGGTTTTAATTCGAGACTGGTTGATCAAAAGCAAGTTAACGACATTTTCAAATAATAGTTCATTGTAAATTGAAGGTCTGCAAGAGATCTGTATCACACCATAATGATAATCTAGGTTTCATAAAACAATCAAAAATTTTAAAGATTCTCTTTTAATTCAAACAACTTCAAAACTCCTTTTTCATTGTAACATTTTACGCAGGAAATTTCATACTATATAAATCTAATCTATACAACAAATAATTGCAAAACTTTAATAAAATAAAATTCTAAACAACATTATTCATTCTTAAAATATCAAAAATTCATAAAAAATTATTCAGCAAAAATTTTTTAAACAATTCAAAACAAATTAAATCCAAATTGGAATAATTCATGTGAACAAATAAGTTTTTCGGGAGAAAATTGAATTATATTTTTTTTTTCAACAGAATAACTTTCTAAAATACCCTGAGGATGTCCATTTTAATGATGTAAAAAATGTGGATGATTCGTCTCAGAAATGAGCTTTTGTTAATAAAATAATTTGTAATTTTTTTTGTTTCAAAGTTTTTTATAAATCTGGATACGTTTGGTGGTTGTAACTGATTGTTCGAATAAGTTTCAAGCGCATATTTATAATTTTTGTGTTTTTTGCTTCATAAAATCGCCCAAGAATTAAAATAATTGAATTCAACCTGTTAAAAATTTAAAAAGAGCTTTTATCAATCATTATAGAAAATTAAACCATTTTCTTTCCACAAATAAGAAATTGATTATCCACAAATAAGATCCACAACAGTCCTTACAATTGTGTTGTAATCATAGCCAAATCATTTGTAAACAAGCGCTCTTTGCAAGTTTCAACAATTTTCCAAGCATCAATCATCCTTAAACTTTTTTCCATTGCATGAAACAAAACTTTTAACTTAAAAGAGTTTTTTGTTTGTGTCTAAAATAAAGAGATAGTGGAATTGAGCAGAGCTAAGAAAAACTGAAAAGTTGGTAAAGTGAAAGGAAATGATTTCCAATTTTTCTCATTTTATAATTTGTCGGAAAAAGTTTTTAACTTCTTTAAGGTTCGTTTTTCAATGTATTTATTTTTGAAAATTAACATAAAGTTGGTAATGTTGTGTCTAACAGTTAGAAATCATTACTAGATTTTCTTAGATATTCAAAACATTACAAATCAGAGATTTAAAGATCGTCATGAATTCGTTTTATTACAACTTTTGTTGTATTCAACAAGAACTATGACTAAACGTAATAAAGACAATACTTTATGATTGTTTCGGATGCTACAAAACTTACAAACAATGGTTAATCTTTTCAATCAGCAAATTTAGCAAAAATTATAAAAATTACTTTAAATTTGATTAAATTCAACTTCAATCATCCAAAAGAAAATCTGTGTTTGATCCTTAAGCATCTCTAAATACTACGAACGGAAAAAGATTAAAATTTAATTTTTCAAATGAAGAATGTCTTTCCTTTAATTCTTTTCATTTGATTATTTTTATAATCACAGAAATGGAAAGAAAAAAATATTAAAAATCCGATTGAGACTAAGTATACATAAATTTTTCATCCATTGCTTTTTCAAATATGCAAAAAGATAAAAGGAATTAATTTTCCAGAAAGAAATGAGAAGAAAAAGCTTCTCGTTAAGGATTATGAAACATGGTAACATACCGTACCGAAACTTTTCTTAACCATTTTGTCGACTTTGCCATTTCTCGCATTTTGTGGAGGAAAGAAAAAAAATTCTTATTAACGCATTTTGCTCAGTATAAGCAGATGATTCAAGCATGAAATTGTCAAAAGAAATTATTATGATAGAAAATTTTCTAGAGCAAGATGCGATAAAATACACATGACATAATGAACTTCCTAATCTCTTTTCCATGTTCCTTAAAAATCTACAATCTCAATCTCTCCCTATCCTCATACTCACATCATTTTTTCTAATGCAAAAAGAAGCACGAAAAATCATTTCAAAAAAAAAAGAACTCACAAAAAATTAAATCGTAAACACGAAATTCATTGCGCGCGAAAAAGTCACGAGTCAATGATTACCAAACTTTGCCACAGTGTGGTTTATGTGTGGCTTTTAAATGAGTAAGTAAATCTATCTATCATCGCGGTACACAAGCTTACTCTATTCCTCATGCAGAAAATGAAGAGTTTTTTTTTCTGCTATTTTACTTCTTCATACTTAGAATATGTCAACTCGTGGCATTTAAAAAGCCACAATCTCATTTAATTTTAAGGAAAAAATATATAGACATAACGATGAGTATGTGATGCTTTGGAGGTTCTGAGTAATCAATTTAGATTAAAGGTTCTTGATAAGCTTTTATTAAAGCTTTGATATTTAGGAATGTAAAAGTTTGTTTATGTTTTATTATTAAGGAAGTCTTTTGAATATTAAGTTACGCTTAAGGAAATGGAGATGCTTTATATATAGCTCGTTTCAAGAGCTACCATGGCTCAAATTTCATTTAACAAATAAAAACCTTCAAAATCATTAACGAAACCCGACAAATCAGAAGCACTAAAATTTAATTTTGATCAAATTTACTTTAATAATGTTTAGTTTTTGTAATTCCATGCCTCACAAACATCAGGCAATTTAACGCTCATCCAATAATAATATTATGAATTGTTTTGTGCGTGCTATATTAATGAAAACTAAATTAACACACAAAAATTCAATTAATGAAAAACTTTTTTCCCGTCATCATCATCATCATCAAATAATTATTGATCGCTTTGATAACTTAATTAGCGGGATGTCTGTGGTAGTTTGTAAAATGTTTATATATAATAAAATAAAGCTGATGATTCTATCGAGCAATGAGTTGAGAGAATTGAAGTAAAAATATTTTTCGTGTAATTAAAGCTTCACGGGTTGTTTGATTTATGATTCGTTGCATGACTTTGAATTTTTCAGCAGAGTTCATCATGCTAACTCTATCAAATTAAGGATACAACAACCTTAGTCATGATGTCCTAATTTGTGTGGTTTTGGAAACTTTCTTGTTTTTGCTTATCTCATCTAAATGATGTTAAATATTTTTTTGTAGTATGGAGGAACTTTTTAAAAGGTGTAGCACAAAGCATTTGAACTCCCAAACCTCGTACCTGATCACATCTTTGACCACATTCAGTAAAAAATTCCACAAACTTTCAATTCCAATGAACTTTTTATGTTCAATTTATTTGTTGACACAATCACAACTTTTATGAATTTTAAGAAAAAGCCACAATCTGACACATTTTCATGCAGCATTGCATATTCTGTCTATTGTTTTGATCTTTTTTTTGTTACATTGGAATTTTTGAAAATGAAAAAAAAAAACTTTTTTTTCTAGCACAAAAAAAATTATTTCTCAATGGATTTTTCAGTTTTCAATGTCCAACTTTAATGATACTCTCAGTCTGCATGTATCTTTGCTCCATTCTCGGTTGGAAAATAATTTTCACAAGTAAAATTTGCATTGAAAAAACTTTTTTTGCGTTCAATTGAAACTTTTTGAGAATCAAGTGAATATAAAGTTGATTACATTAAGTAATTAATGGAAATTAAAGGTAATTTATGGTTTAGTCATGTTCACTATTATGTTGATGTGATAGAGTAAGTAACGGTATTTTTAGCAGTGAGAGTATTTAAATGAATGAATTGTAAGGATTCTGTTACATTGTATAAACTTTCATTACTGTTGATAGGATGCTCATTATTTCGACAATGTTGAATTCATCATCAAGTAAATTTTAATACAATGAATTATGTCGGGTGTATTCACGTTCTGTTATATCAACAAAGTGTGCTAAAATGTTGATTCATGTGCAAATTGATTCATTTTTGTTGTGATTCATTAACAAGTTTCCAAAAATGAATAGCTTTAGACACAGTTTCATTTAGAATGAATATGTCTTCTTTTTGTTGGAAATATCTGATGATTCATAAGCTCTGCATGCGTAGGAAATCGAGTAAAATTGTACAGCATGATTTGAGTTACTATAAAAAGAATGTTATGATAAATAATAACAAGAACTGAATGTCTGAATGTCTTATTTATATCGCAAATCATAAGTTGTTGTTGATTTTGTGTCTACAAGAAATTCTTTGACCTAATTATCCAAAAACTCAAATAGTACAAGAAAAGATAAAGAAAACTAGTAACATAGTTTTGAGAAAATATATAGTTTTGGTCACTGGCGCTATCATAGTATGATGACAAACTATATATTAGGAAGCACAACAAACAAATGTTTTAAGATTGGATCGTGGTTGTACTTGACTTTGATTAGATATCAACTTAAACCTAAGTTTGCTTGATGATTTCATGTATTACTTGCGAAAGTTTCTCAAAGTATCCTAAATCTATTTCGATAGATGCATTTGGATATTTAAGAAAATGACAATGTCTACAGTAAGCATCTTTAGAACAAACGAATATATTAGGCACATAACACAAATTTGTGAAATTATATTTAATGTTTCAAATTTGACTTTTATTATCGTCACGATTGACTAACCTTCAACCTTTAACTTTCTCGATTCAATTGAAATTTTACGACTTTAAAATAACAACTTTAAATCGCCATAAATTGAATTTTCATGTTCTTATTCTCTGAAAATTGATACAATCAATTTGTATTTGTTACTTCCAAAAAAATACAACAAAATATATATCATTAAATAAACAAAATAATGGCAGAATCGCATGTAATGTTGAAAATAAAAAATTACAAAATCAATTTTCTTCGAATCAATACAACATGAAATTTCTAAGCGCGCCTAAACATTGACAAAGTTTTTTGATTAAATTTCTGTTAAAAAACATTTTTGTTTACCTTCCGAACGATGAATAAAAAAATTTTTAAAGGAAAAAGCATTGAATATCCATAAAAAAATATTTTTCTTGAGATGACGAAGTCATTAATATTTCAAAAAATATAAGATTCAATGAAAAAGAAATTAGGAAATGTTAAGAAAATAAGAACGTAATTTTCTCATTTTTATATATGCGTATGGGGAACCCACACATCATTCCTGATGTTTATTTTGCTATCAATAACATGGTTTCATCACATGCGAATGTTTACTTGCTGATTAAATGATCTATATTGCGGTATCTTGCGGTAACGTGACAAATTGCAAACGCAAACATTAACGGAAATTAAGTAAATTGAAGGTGATTTATATTGAGGAAGTTTGACCTGATCAATCGAATATTCATGTCTTCATGAGGAATCCTCATATTCATTGAAGATAAATATGTTTCTGATAAGAATATAAAATTAAAGTTTTATTAATTATTAAACCTTTAATCTTTTAGTCAGAGCTGCACTGTCTGCAATATCTTAATCATCTCCCATTTAAATAACTCAAAATCACCTTAAAGTTCTCTAAACATCTTATCCTCTTCAAATAGGAAAATAAAAATAGATCGATAATCGATTAAAAATGCTCAAAAAAGCACTTAACTTTATCCTTTTGGGAAATACAATCCTTTGAGTTATGAAAAGAATTTCTCTATAGCTACCTATCTACTTTTTATCTTTCTTCAACCATTTCTTTTCGTTCGATTGACCCGAATTAAGTCTGTTTTTACTACTTTATAGGGGTTATGAATGGAAAAGTTCTAACCTTTTTTTTTTTGCTCAAAACATCATAACAGTGATCCAACTGATTAATGAACTTAGAGTAAATATTGAAGAAAAAGGATCCCGATCGGCACACATTGAAATGTTCGCCACCTTAGAACCAAGCAGCAAATTCAATGTGTGCCGATCGGGGATAAAGAAGTCAATATAAATCTGCAGAAATTCTGTTGGCAGTTCTGATAAATTTTAAGAAAAATGAAGATTGTGAGGTATTTGTAGTAAGATAAAGAGCCGGATCCAACTAGTGTCAACCTCTAATCTCAAATCAATCTTAGCTAAAAAGATTTTCACTTTCATTAATTCACACAAACAAGCAAAAAAATCATTGACAAGTAAAAAGTAGAAAAGAAGAAAGCATAATTCGATTAAGAATGAATGCCAATTCATCATATCGAATAGAAATTAATCATCGAGCAAATAGAACAGGTGGAATACATACTAAACAATTCACAACAATGTCAGGATTTCGAAATAAAAAGCATCAACGAGAGTAAGGGAGAAAACCGAGTTGATTGAAATGTTTCAATGCGAAATAGTCTAACGACGGTATGCACCAATTGCTTCCTACGATTATAGATGAGAAAATTTTTTGTGTTTTATTGTTGTTGGATGGGAGGAGGATTCAAGCACAAATTAATTAATATTCATTCGATGTAATCGTGCATGGATCGAACACAAATTTCACATTCCTCCCGAGTGGACAAAGTACTAGTTAAAAGCTTTCCATTGACTTGCCTGTTCACGGCGAGTAAGTATCCATTGACGTGCCTTTGCAACTAGACTTAGGGACGACTAATGACATATTTTGCGCTTTCCATTTAACTGGATATAGGAATTGCAAATATGTCTAGTTAATGTCCAGTTACAAAAAAATCGAAATAAAATAAATAACACGTGTCTTTTTCTCCATTTTTTTTCTTATGTAAAATATTATTATTGTATTAGTGTAATTAATTAATTAAAGTACACTAACACTTATGAAAAATCTCTAGTAAAAATTGAGTCTCGAACACTAGCGCGTGAAACATTTTTATTTACTTAAAAGTTTCATACAAATTTGGTGAGACCTTATATAAGTGATTTCTGCAAGCGCTTGTGAAGTATATGGTCAAAAAAGTAAGGAAAATTATTTTTGAGTTCGAGCACTTGATTGATTAGCATGAATGTCCAGTTAAAGTCTAGTTAACGTATAGTTCTCTATGTCGTATAAATTTCGGCAAGTTAAAAGACTGTTAAATGATTGTCCAATAATGGACTTTAACTGGCTGTGTCCACCCGGGCCTTCAATGATGGGTTTGAAATTGACGACGGAGCTTTTTCGATGCGTAGCATGTCCGAACATTAATTTCATCACACATTTTCCTTCAATTCATTTCCATTCATTTTCCTACACAAAATACCAAAAAAAATAATAGAGAACTAATTATTCATGTCTCGTAACAATCTTTTTCAACGCCATCAAGCAAACCGCATCTTGCTGAGGTCGTTGTAGTCGAGGAAATTTCAGCAAATTTAACATCATTATTATTTTTTGGTGACTCTTTTTTACAACCGAAAGAAGGGAAATTTCGCGTCAATTTAAATGAAATAAAATTAATTGACATGAAAAAAATGATTATAAATTTTTCGGTGAGATGCACGAATGAAGCAATGGTGAAGGAAGAGTTTTTATTCAAGTGAGACAGTATAGTTGCTAAGGAATCGACAGGACGTTTTGGGATCAGCAGTATGCAAATTAAACACTTGCTTCCTGTAACGTTATCATTTTATGGATGATATCGTTCACAAAAGCTTTAAACTGACTCAATTTCATGGTAAGGATTTTACAACAAACATAGATTTCTTGATCTATCCTGAGCAGCCTACCTTGCAATAGTTTGGATATTTAACTACATTTTAAGATATTTACAAAGTTTTATAATGATTACGGGAGGAGATTTTGAGTAGTGCTGGAAACCAAACCCAAGAAGAAAGTCAATTCAAATCTACTTGTAATTTAATTGGAGCTCTTAAGCTCTAAATGAAATGATTATATAAAATGCAAAACAAATCATTAAAAATTTTCATGCAATCCATTTGCATTAAGAAGTTCTCTCTCCTGTTATTCACCAAAACTTGACCAAAACATAGTTAACAATAATTCATAAACTTTTAATTGGAATAAAGCTCATATCGTTTTTAAATTCAACACAATGTTTTCCTAATAATATACACAGATTCTTATTGTTTTTCACATCGCATTCATTTGTTGATTTTTCCTATTTTACCTCTGGGGCCATTCACTTATTACGTAACGCTTTTAGGGGGGGAGGGGGGTCTAAGATTTTGTTACGGTTCAAACAAGGAAATTTTTTTTTCATACAAATTCTGTTACGAGGGGGGGGGGGGTCTAAAAAGTCATTTTTTCGCGTTACGTAATAAGTGAACAGCCCCTCTATGATTTTTATGATTTTAATGCAGCACAGAGGCGTAGTTTAAACTTTAAACAATTTTAAATAATTTCGGTGAGAAGTTTAACCAAAAACCCACCCTGACTTCACTGATGCAGCGCAATAAAAAAAGGAATTGTTGAATCAGAAAATTTTATGGAAGAATGAACAAATTTCTCATTTACTTAAAACTCATATAATTATAATTAATGAAATTGATGACTATCATCATACTTTTCCATCCACAAGCAACAATATTGGATGTAAAAAAATTTTCTATTTCTGCACAGAATGATACATATCAGCATTACAACTTCATTATGGTTCACGTACATAAAATGAATAATAAAAAAGTTTTTTAATTATTTGCTTATTTGCTACATGTCTGGAGGTAAGACAGGAGAAGAAAATTGCGAGATACAAGATATGAAATGACAGCTTCCTGTCTTATTTCGGAAACTTTATTTTTTATCATCTTAGCGTTTATCAAAATATGACAAGAATGTCATCTCACATTGTGCTTAAAGTGACATTAAAATCACTCAAAAATACACATGCATCAGCAAAAAATGAGGAAGCAGATTGTTCCACATCCTGACACAGTTTATAAATTAAAATCAAATGTTTGCTATGAAAATATGGAAAATCCAATAAGTACTTAAAATAATTGATATTCGACTGGAGCTGACATTAAGCAGAAAACTTTTATTCAGAATTTCAATATTAAATTATGAAAAACCGAAGAAATGATAATTAAATTTAATTTCGGAAAACTCTTGATTTTCATTGCGTTTGGTGTCGATTTAAATTTTGGAAGAGCTTCAATAGTCGGCAACAATCATGATTGAGAGCAAAAAGTTGGGTTTAGAATTTATCAAAAACAGAGTTTAATATTCGACCGAGTATAAGGAGAGGGGGGGTATAAAGAGGGGGGGGGTCAATTTTTTTATATGGAAAACTTTTGGGGGGGGGAGGGGTGATTTTTTCAAGTTTTTCGAGTTTTTCATAAAAATTCTAGCAAATTGAAGAAATTTCTTAAGTCGAAAAGGGATTTGTCCGTCAAATCCCCCTCTCTAGCTACGCGCCTGAGGAGGAGGGTTGAAGTTATGGAAACATCCAGAGAATGACTAAGTTTATCTGTCAAAAAGGTAAATTTAAACTCGAAAGAAATAAAACAAAACTTGAAAAATGGTTGGAAGTCAAATTTAAGTCCAGCATTACGAAAATCTGGTATTAATATTTATAGCAATAAATTTGGTTGAAGTAATTCAATTTCTGTACTCATCAATTTAATAAAAACCTACAGAAACAGAGCACATACAAAAAATATTATTTCATATGATCGATAATCCCATTTTCTCTTCATTCAATTTCACTTCTATGATGAAATTCATCAAAATAAATTTACAATAAACTCATTCAGCTAGAAAGTGCACGCATAGAGACAGTAAAATATAAAAAAAAGTCCTGTTTTTAGTGACAAAAATTGTGAAAATGCAATCCTGAATGAGGAAATATCAATAACCATATCACATTTCGTGGTAGTAGCAATAAGAGCTGCAGACACTGTCTGGATGTGAGAGAACGAAAATGCATTTTGTGATTTTTCAACATTCACTCTAGTCTCTCCTTCCGAACCCAATGATATGCCGCACGTGAAAAAATAAACAATACGATTGCATTGTGAAAATAACGAAAGAGATTGATATTTAAATTGCAAGGATGGGAGGAGGAGGGGAGGGGGTAAAATGTATATTTTATGTTCAAGAACTACAAAAGTGAGAAAATGGCAATACAGTAAATTAAACAAATAAAAACAGTTGACGAGTTGAACGTATTTTCAGTGTGTGTAGAACTTTGTGGGCGATGTGAAATGGATGAAATTTACATGCTTTATTACTGTATTCAACATGCGATATTGTCATTTTATTCAAGTGAGTTGGGGGGTCGGTTGGATATTAGGTAACAATTTTAAACATAAATTTGATTTCAATCGGGTCTTTGGATCCAAAAGCTTTGAAAACTGAATTGTTGATCTTCACAAAGGAACACAATACTTAATTTTGAGGAGACAATTCCAAGTATGGAGTGGAACTGGCACAGAGAGACAGAGAGGAGGCACAGAGAGAAAGAGAGAATTAAAATAACAATTTCTAGTGCTACATTACTTACAATTAACCCCATAGATGAAAATTCCTATAATCTAGCTATCGATAGAACCCCATAACATTATTTGTGTTGAAGTTGCTGAATGATTTGAATTAAATTGTTATTTCTGTCTATTGACACTGCTGGTGCAGTTTACGAGGGTAAAGTTTATGCATTTCTAATTCATTTCTGTAGAAATTCGTAGATTTGAACAGATTGAACCTCGCAATTAAATTAAAATTAAGAAGATTTTGTTGGATAGTCAAACATTGACGATGGGATATGATTTTTTTGATTATTCGCACATCCATAGCTGAAGGGGAGTCAGGGGGGGTTTGAGGGCATTGTTTTCTCTTTAATCTTTTTAAATTAATTAAAAAAATCGAAATAAAATTTCAAAAAATTATATCTTCATGAAAAATTGTCAACACAACCCCCCCCCCCCCCACAATTTTGAAAATTTTCTGACTACACCATTAATCCTACAAAACATAATCCATACCAAATTCAAATAAATTCCGAACAAAATCCACCAAAAGCAGTCAAGCCTTTAAATAAATAAATTTCAGACTCAGACACCACAAACTAATCCAAGCAATTAAAACTTATCACTATTCAACAGCATAAATTTCTCATTAATTTCATAAATCTCTTAATAAAGTTCATAATAAACCGTTTTATTAAAATTAAAAAATTGGAAGCTCCAAACAAGATTTAAGGATGATTTACTTCAATCGCTTAAATTCATTTTCATTTATTTATTTTATAAACATAATTCTCAATAAATATCATCCCTTCCAAAATAATATGTTGTAGTATGCATACATGCACAAATGTATCTCTACGAATATCCAATTCTACTGATAATCCGTGACTGTTGCAGAAATTAAATTTGCACTTTCGAGAGTACGGAATGTGCAATTTTCTGTGCACTTTTTTTTTAAATTGACTATTAAATGCAATGGTGATTTTTATTTGAGGAACGAGAGATGAGGATGAGAGGCTAGCATAAACGAGAATCCTTTTGCGGGGGTGAAAATGAAAAGTCATGATGCAAATGAACCGCACTAGCTTATACATGTGCGAGCGAGCGTATATCAATTTATAGAGACTATATATTGCCGGAGTGAGACGAGTGAGTCCTATTTAAAATGTCATATAATTAATTAGAAGTGATATTTTCATCGGATGTATGTGTACAAAATTATGTACGTGATATTCGAAAAATTTTGAGGACATGATTAGGACGAATATAATGGCAGTAGCCAATGATGGTAATAAAGTTAACATTTGATGAGGGGATTTAAAAGCATGTGCATATATGCATGACATGATATGACTTCCATAGATATTCAAAAATATATTTTGTTGACAGTAATTTCCACTAATGAAAAATCGTCGGACCACATGCACACACCATACACATTCATACGGGATCCATACGTGCATGACATAGACACAAAATGTTATAGTTAATTGGAAAATCATATAATAATAAGATATGGGATTACTCACCTAATGATTTAATGGCATCATTTGCAATATCGAGTCCAGCAAATGCATAAATTGCAATGGTACACAAGTTCGGGTCAAAGTTGTCAATTGAGTAACTGCCTCTATCGGGACGATAAACAGCCCAAGTAGAGATGTAACACACAACAGCTTTATTATGTTGCGGTCCTGGAAATAATAATAATAATAGCATCAAAAAAAAATAATTTGGGATTGTTAGCAGTTATGCATGCCGTATCAACATTACCACAAATGTCTGTCTCTCGATTGTCAATGTATTCAAAATTCAACATGAAAATGGCCCAAAGAGAATATTTGTCAAATAGCACATACATCGTACATGTATTATTGGGTTTTATCAGAAATGTCTCGATCAAAATTTAAAAAAAAAAAACTTTTAATTGCTATTTGAAGCTTTCTGTATGTCTTTTGTTTATCTACTATGGGTGCCTTTATGTGTTGCATCAACAAGCTAAATTAATTTATTATCAGTTCCACCACAATAATGACATTATTTAAAACACAATCTATAAAAGAGGATTCAATGAGGTCATCAAAAAAGGAGAAAATTAAGTTTGATTCTTTCATTAATTAAATTTTCATGTTCAATTCCAATTACTTTAGATTCTGTTGTTTCTGAGGTTTGCACACGTGTAAGTTGATTCAATTTATAAAATTGATTGCACATTTAATTGTGTTCTAGTTTCATGTATGTAAGATATGAAGGCAATCAATTTGTGGAACAAGGACAGGATGGAATTCAAACTTGAAATTGAGGGAAACAGAGGTAGAGGTCATTGGTCTGATTTATTAGATGGTTTTTAATGCTTTATTGTACTTGATTAGAATATTGGAGTTTAATAGGCTTAGTGGCATTGAAATTAAGAGTTTTGGTTCGAACCTCAATTTAGAATTAACGCAAATTGGACTAAAACTAAGATGGATCATGCAAATGAAGTTCAGAACCACCCGTGCCGTCAGTAAAATGGTTTTGATCACACAAAACTCTTAAAAACATATTTAAACAATTTAGAAAATTTATTTATCTCATTACCATTAGTGACTTAATCAAATCATCCATTTGTATCAACATATTGACAGAAATAAAATATATACAAATATACACATCCACCAATTAAACAAAATATTGCAAAATGCATCAATCCCCCCCAACCCCCCGTCATTGTAACAGTTTTATAATTACATGACAAAATTGGATATACAATTTTATGCATATTTGCATCAAATAAAATGAAATTATAAAATTAAAATGAAAATTGGCAATGAGAACATTTCAAATTATTTCAAGTGTCCTCTTTATCTTTATTGCAAATTGATCGTTTGACCTCCGCAGGAAAAATTGGAATGCTCATGGCATATAATTGACATTTTACAATTTAATTTTAAATAAGAGACAGAAAGGAACCGAAAATATTTTGAGTAATTATAACAACTCGATACGATAGCAATTAACGCAAACTGATTGATTGTTGAATTTTAACAATGTTATTGAGCGGAATAATGCAGTTGTTGTTTCCTCAAAAGTATATATGTACATCATTCAATGATGTATAAGCACGAAGTACAATTATTGAAGTGTTTTTCATTAAACAACAAAAACAGCAATCAACAGCACACTCGATACTCAATTTTGGGGGGGGGGGGGGGGGGGATTTTCATAGCCGCAATGAATTGGTTTGCGAGTGGATTGTAGAATTAGTCATTATAATGAAAAGTAACGATGATGATTGTGCCTCAGATTGGGATAATGGAAGAGCAAGCTAGTCTTCTTATTTAATTTTGAATAGTTTGGGGAAGGCTTTCTTTGTGAATGATGCCTTTGGAATGATTGATATTTTAAGATTCAACCTACCACATCCACTAGATTTATAAGATCAGATTGTCGTGATGGGAAACGAACCTATGTCTTTGCATATGAAATGTTTTTCGTACCCACTTGGTCAAAAAGGAATTAAACTAGAAATTGCTAATTTGCTCATAATATGTTGCTTGATACCTCAGATCCGACTCTTCACATCAACATTGAATACCCCCAAATTTTATTTAAATTCTACCTTGATGTATTCCTCCGTAACAAGAGGACTGGTATAGCCATTTAACAAGTTACTCTATGAGAACTTTACAAAACCGTAACGGGACATACGATTTAGGTGTCTGATTATTGCTATTGTTTCTAATTTAGCGCAAACTTGATTCTACTTGACATTGTCAAATTTTTTTTTATAGACGCGAGTTTGTGTAATTGTTTAATTAATTGACGGTTCTTATGAGGCTGTCGATAGTAAAAGAAAGAATAAACTAAGTTATATTGATGTAATGAAAGATGTCATTTCTTTTAACCTTACCCAACCTTTCGAATAAAGTCTTTTGGAAGTTTATTAATTAACAAATTCTCTTTCTTACTCAATTCGTCTAGTCTTGCATAGAATAGAGTTGATTCCTCACAAGATTAGTTTTTTTGGCAGAGGAAGTGTGGATATGGCTCGAATAGGATATCTGAAGTAGATATGCCTGAGCAAAGAGCTCGCGTTGAACTGGTTATTTGTGTATGACAGATAGCCGAAGTGAGATAAGTACCTCGGTAGACGAGTGGCAGGGATCTCTGATCAAGTGGTAAGAGATCGCCTTTTTTGAGGTCGTGGGTTCGATTCCGTTCGAGGTCTACTGGCTGAAGACAAAGAAACTGATCAAAACCTGATTTCAAAACTTGTTCGAATCAAGAATTACTATTCAAACCCGAGCGACACAAGATAGAGGATATCCATTGAGCATTTGAAACTATTTTCAAACCTTTAAAAAAATTTAAATCTTTAAAATTCGAGAACAATGAATTAGAAGTCTTGAAATCTTGATATTGAGCTGATCACAACTGCTGGAATCTCCTCCAGTCAAATGGAAAAAAAGCTGATTTAAAGTTACGCAAAAAAGGAGACTAGAAGAAAAAAGTTTCCTTTTTTGTTACAGAACGCAGCCAGTCAAAAGCTTTTCTTTCTTTTTTGTGGCATTATAAAAAAAGTAAAATGAAATACTCTAGCGTGGAAAAGCAATTGCGGACACAATTTATGAGGAAAAATTATTTATTATGACACACCATTTTAGGTGAGGAAAGAAAAGAAGGAAAGAAAAATTGGAAGTGAGGAGAGAAGCAACATACAGCAACAAAAACAGAAATTATGAGTCCCGTTGCGGGTAAACTCGGGAGTGTGTAGGAGACATGCTTGACTTTTTATACTTTTTTCACCACTTAACAGCACTTTGTGAGGGTACAAAAGCAAAGAAAAATAAAGGAGATGAAGGAAGAAAAAAAAAGCCCCAGCATCGCTTTATTGAAAGCCATTTTTCATCTCTTTATGTCATTGTTGGGATTTTTTTTGGAGCTTTTTATTAAAAGTGGGGTGTCTGCGTTTAGTCTGTTTCTCTTTTTGAACGACTTTATTTGAAAAAAAACGACAAAATAAAATTTAAATTCTCAAATATTTTCAACGATTTTTTCAAACCAAAATTTTTGAAGAAAATTTGAATTTTTTTCAATCGTTTTTTTTAAAGTCCTAATTTAAGCAACACAAAAGCGCCTTAATTAGTCTCGCATGATCAAATCAATACTAATTTTCCACTTGCTCTAGCGTACGAGTTTCAAATATTTGTGATAATGATTAAAGCATTAAAAAGTTCAGTTTTTTTTTTCTGTGTCTACCAAAAAATAAGCACCATAAATAATGCATGAAGGTGAACTAATTCTTTTTTTTACTTTGACATTTACAGTCGCACACTTGAGGCATCGTTTATATAATTGCAAAAGAATTAAATCTAAACTGATGACACAGTCATGAACTGCTTGTTGTGTAAATATTGACAAAGCTATTTAACAGCTGACTTACCTGTTTGTGCCTGTGCTTGGTAAAACATTGTGATGACTAAAATCCAGTTTAGCACTAAACTGCTCTTAATATGCATTTTTAATTATTTGACTATTTTTGTTATTTTCGTTGCTTTGTTGTCTATGGATGAGAATAAGAAGATTCCCACAACATTTAGAAAACGAGAACGAGGAAGTGCTTAAAATTGCAAATGAGAATAAAAGTTTAATTTCGTTCGGCATCTCTCAAAAAAAAATGACTTTTTAAACAAAACGTTGATTTTTCGAACAGAATGATGCAAAATTTCCCACAAGCATGAAGCTGTACCAGAAATTTAATGCGAGAAAATTCAACAATTAGATAATTATTGTTCGCAGAAGTTTTCACTTCCTTATCTTCTTCATAGAGAAAATATTTTGCGGTTATGAAATGAATTGTTTAGCGCATTTTTCTAGGTCTAGAAGTATTTTTTGGTCTCCATTCATGAATCGCACGTGTTTGTCATTTGTAACGGAAAAATTGAAAAATTTCTTGAAAACCATACAACAAACTTCAAAACATTTGTAAGGTTCTGACATTTTTTGAATTCAAATTCCACAACTACTATTAAACTTTAAAATCATCTCAGTAAGCAAAGCAAATCAATTTACAAGTCAAAAATCAAGTGTTTAAATGTGCAAAGTGACTTCCATTCATACAGTTTGATTAAATAACGGGAAAAGTAGTCGCGATACCGCAAGAAAATTAATTTTGTTAAACTATAATTAAAGTATTTAAAATGGGACACAAAAGTTTTATAATGCCTTAAAATAACAATTTACAGAGATTTCACAATAGCTCGCAAAACCCCGATGCTTAAAAGAATCACTTCAGAACATTATGAGATCCAGTGGAAGAAACAATAAAAATATGCTAATAAATATGATGGGACAACTCGGAAGCATAGAATGTCGCATAAAAGGGCAATTAAGTTATTGTTTTGGTAGTGGCTAGCTTTCATGCCACACAATTCACATCGACCATATTTTTTTCATTCTTGTGGATGTTTAAAAATTTGAGTCAGTCGCTTTATGGCATAATATAGCATATTGTAGATGTGGCGTGCTTCTTTTAATTCTTTTTTGCTTAAATAATAACAATAATCGTCATGAAAAGTGTCACATTCAAGGCATAATGTTGTGTAATTTAATAACAATTCTGAAGAGATTTCCTTTCACATTTCTATGTGTATGTACAGCATATAGCAGACGGAATATTTGCGACATTTGGCAAGCTGGGTAAGTAGTAATTTTGTCACTAATTTTTGGCTTTCTTATCGTATTGCCATTACAATAAATGTGAATAATTATGTTTCAATTTCTGTGCCTGAATGTAGTCACTGGATGTTTTGATAACAGCTAATTTTTATGGTAATGAGCTGTTCTTTAATTGAGATATGAGCAAATTTCGCTTGTTTCATAGTTTTAGTCATGAAATCACGTCATGCATTCACTGGATCTTGTTACAAAGTAACATAAGAAGTTTATCGTCGCATTTCCCGTCTTTGATCGGATAAATGCAGCAACAAATGTGCATCGGAATAGCCAAAGTCGATTATTGTCATGCATGACACATTCCAATTAATATTTATTTATTCATAGCATCAAAAAATGCGTTCAAATAGTCTGAATGAATCTAATAAGATGCTTAATCGGTCTTTCCCCTCTTTTTATTTCTTCGTTTGACATCAATTCGGGCGCATCCAACAAAAGGGAACGACACATACTTTGTATGGAATTTCTTTGTAAACATTTTCATTAATTTCTTTTTGATGTAGAAAGTTTTGACTTCATATTAAGCAATGTAGACTTGAATGTTGGATTACGAAATTTAATTCACTGATTAACGGCTCTTTGGAATTTGAATTTTTTTAACTGTTGAATCGGTTATTATTTAACGAGCTTTTCAAATTTGAATTGTCAACAGAATTTCACATAAAATTTGAAATTATTTTGAACGTTAAATTTTTAAATGATATTCAACACTTAAAATTCATAAGTCATCAGTTGCTCAACAATATGGATCATTTTAAACTCATTGTATATAACACTCAATTGTTTTTCAAACGTCAACAGTGATTAAAGGAAAATCAATCGTCTCCAGAAATTCTAAACATTATTTCAACCTTGAGTTTTCTTTGTAGCTAGATACAAGCAGCGTGCATGCTCAAGTGCGATACCAAAACCGGCTACACGTTGTTTATTAGATAGAATTAAGTAGAAAAATATTTTACTTTTATTATATCACATTTTTTGTATATTTATAAAAGTTGAAGGTTGTTGGTGGTTATTTTGAATGTCTTAGAATCAGGTCGTGTGTACATAGACAGAACAGAAGAGCGAATATGCCGAAAACATGAAGATCCAATAAGAAAAAAAAACAGGTTTTTTTTATGAAATTGCCGTCCAAGACATTCTCAATTCCTTTCTTTTACTGCGATTGTACATCCACACACACACACACACACACTAAATAGAATATAGAGTTTGTGGCAAAATTATTCATTTGCCATGCCCATATTAGAAATTAACGTATATTCCCTTAATTTGGGTCTGACTGGGCTAATGACTGAAATAATTCTTTCGTAATGATTTCCTTTATTGTTATCAGCACTAAATTTAAGCATTAAACATGGAAAATAACAGAAATCAATTACAAGAGAATTTCCTCAATAAATTTAATTCCATTTTCACGAAATTGGGCACTTTTAGGTATCTTATAAGATATAAATCATAATTTAAAATCCAAATGTGGATTAATGGCTTAGAATTTCCTATTTCGTACTTTAAAGTTCAACACACACCTTTCTAATTAATTGAAAATGTTATTACGCGCGCACACTGAACAACTTTATTGCTTTCTCTAAGTTTACTTTTTACCCGTGCTTCTTAGACGAATTGTGAGATCAAACTGAAAAATATTTGTATCGTTGCGTGCTTGAGTAACTGAAAGTTTCTTAACACCAACTACATAGACATACAATACATTAATAAACTTACTTTTTATTATTAAAGTTCTCTCGCGAGAGAATCGTTGTAAGCTTGCTTGTGGTAAGCGTAATGATCGTGAGTCATAACGTTTTTTGCACAGAAAATCAACGCGGGCTAGCTGCATTTTTTCATTTCCTTAATCCATAATTGGAATGTGATTTACTATGATCGGTGGGAAAAGCTCGTTTAAAATGTTTTTCTTTTTTTATTTTTGATGATTTAACAGATTTTATTAAGATTTGAAAAGGCAACGGATTTTCTGGAATTTGAATGTTTCAAAGCACTAAAACAACTTCTCAAATTCACCTAAAACCACACAATTGTTTTAAATTTGTGAAAACCTTACAATTCCAAAAAATATTGAAAACCCTACAAATTCAATTTTCAAGAACATTGTGAACATTACAATTTTAAAATTTCAAAACCATACAAATTCAAATGTTCATTGTAAGATTTTGAAAAAAAAATAAACAATTTCATGGTGAGTTTTCTCCCAACCTCCGAATGAGGAGGTTGTGGAATTGTGCAATACTTCAAAATTAATTATTTACGCGTAGGAATAAGTCACAAACCTACGGAAACTGTCTTCAAAGTAACAAAGAACAAAGATACCAAGGAGAAAACTCAGCAAAGTCGCGATTTAATTAAATTTTGGATATAAATTGAAATTGGAAAAAAAATGTGCAAATTTTGCACATAACCTAGATAAAACGGAATTGATCATCATCGGAATACCAACGAACATTTAATTACATTGACAAATCACGATCGGCGGCAGTTGTGAAGAGAATCAATTGTTTCACGTGGGTTTTTTGTGTTTTACCAACAATCGTGGACAAGAAGGTTCTATCATAACCATAACCTAGACATATTGAATATAATTGGAATACAACGGATTATCGTCAATTGTGAGGAGAATTTGTCTCGCGATGGGTTTTGTGTGTTTCCCTATATATCGCGGGCAATTCTATCAATCAATTGGTGCTGACTGGATTTCAACAAATCAACATTGACAAACAGGAATCGATCATCTCGGAATACAGCAGATCATATTAATTAAATTGACAGATCACAATCGAGACATAAGATAAAATTGAATATATTTGGCATATCACAAGTTAAATTACAGGGACTGTCAAGGGATCTGGATCATCGACAACTGAAGATGGAATTTTTTGCCTAGCGATGGTTTTTTGTTGTTTTGACTTATCGCGGGCATGTTTTCTGTCAACCATTTGGAGTTGACTGGATTTTATTGATTGTTCTTTGTGTATATTTGTAAATTAAACTACCTGGAATTGTGAACGGTCTTTAAATAGCAATAAGCTGATGGACCATAATAAAGTTAATTAAGAAGAAGAAGAAGAACAATTTCATGGTTTAAAATCAGTATCAATAAGCTGTTGTAGTTTTCTCAAACATTTAAATCTTAAAAATCCGTTAATTTCTTAATGACAAAATAACATAAAAATTCAGAGCACATGCTCAAGATCAACTGAAAGATCTGAAAAATAATTTCCAACTAAAACAACGTCGAATTTTATTGCTTTATGTACTACTTTACATTTTAAATTAAATTTATTTTTGACCATTAAGTCTTATATAGTATAACAAACAATCGAATATTCAGTTTGACTCGAAAATCAAGTGTTAAGGAAAAGAAATGTCAGTCAATCTACGATAAAAATTTTCGGAAGTAAAGATCATCAAAAGTATAATTAACCTCGAGGGCCAAAAAGTTATGTTTTGATACCGAAAGTTTTTCTCAATTTTATGGATCATTAGCATGCAATAAAAAAGGATCTCGATCTAAGCTATAATTTTGCTTGTTTTTTCATAAAATCAATTCTTTATGTAATGTATTTTTTGAGTAGTTTTACAAAGAAAAAAAAAGGAAAAGAAATTCTTAAAAATCAAAGTTCGAAACTTTTTTTTGTTATGTAAAGTTCTGCACATTATTCACAATGACCCTCGATGGTTGTCCATAATATTGTGAGGCATCAATTTGAATAACTTGGGATGCATTTTGATCGTCATACATAACAACACAGTCCTCAGATTGCTGCTGAGATGAGCCATCCTCGCGGGTTTTTGTGGATGGGATAAAGCGCTGACGATAATCCTTAACGAATGCATTATATTGCGGTTGATTGATTGCATCCTCGTCTTGATGTGCTGTAATCAAGTGCTTTTTCAAGAACGATTCGTAGCGGAACGAACGATGGCATAAATGACACTGTGTTGTCTTCAAATGGATCTTTGTGTGACGTGATAACGATGATTTGTGACGAAATGACATGAAGCATGTACCGCATTGGTGTGGCTTATTTGTACTATGAACTAACGAATGTTTATGCATTGTCACCTTATCTGAGAACTCTTTGCCACATAAGTCTGTAAGACATAAGCTAGTTAATTGTGGATCAAGCAATAAAGCATATGAGGACTTACCGCAGATGAATTCTTTAACTCCAGTATGGCGCTTAGTGTGATGCTGTAAGCTGTACTTTTGTCTGAATTTCTTAAAGCACCACGGACACTCGTGAGGCTTCTCATTTTGATGGATAAGCAAGTGATTGCGAAGTGCAATCTTTTGACGAAATTCACGTCCACACTCGTCACAACGGAAGGGCTTAATGTTATCGTGTATTTTCAAGTGAAGTGAGTAAACTCCTTTGATATTCTTGCCGCAAATGTGACAAATGTTTCCAGTAGTCTCAATTGCACCTACTTGATGACTACGAAGATGTCGGGTGAGATTATATCGACGTGAAAATGACTTATTACATCCATCCATTGGACAACTTAAGCCTTCGTCGCCTATTTCCTCTAAATCGCTGTCCTTTGCCCGTAACTCTTTCAAAATTTCATCGTATTCTGTATCGTCAATGGAAAACTCAAATTCAAACTCCTCGTCACTACATATCTCCTCTTTTATCTCAATATTATCGAATTTCACGTCTGAAAATGACAAAATAACAATAATACAAATTATGATGCTCAGTTCCGATATCACTCAGTAAATTTTCATACCTTCTGCCATGCTTAATTACTTAATTTTAATGCTTCCTTAATTAATATTCTAATAATTTGCCTTCATATAATCCTTTATTACTACTTTTTTACTCAAACTTAGTTATATGTAATAGCTAATTTACAAAATAATTGTTTAAAAATTAACTTTGTTGACGATTTGCAAAGAAGGGGTGTGAATTTCTGAGGAAGGGGCCCGGAAATTGTTTTTGAAAAAATCTGTTCAAATATAAAACAACCGTTAATATTTTTACTTTCTTTATTCTTAGTTTAATTAATATCATCAATGAAACGTCGTGCCTTCTCCAGCTGTATCAAATTTATATCCTTTTCCATGCCTCTGGTTTGTCTTTTGAATGAATCATTTGATTCTCCTTCATCTAGTTTATGTTTTGACTGACCAGTCTGAAAATGCCTCTGGTACCTTTAACACTTTTTGAAGCTTCTGTGGAGGATCTCTTACTCGTTTGTTATATACTTTATGTGTCTCCATGTGACTGTATAGCTTCTTTCGAGTCTCCATTACTTTATCACATACAAAGCACTTAAACTCTTCGACTGACTTAAAGCACTCAACAATGTGAGCTTCCAGTGCTTTAAAATTCTTATGTTCCTTCTTACAATTTGAACATCTAAAGTCATTCTTTTGTGGCTCGGCTCTTTTCATTCTTATGCCACTTCCGTGCTTAAGTTTTGGCCTTTTTAAATTTTGTTTCTCAGTCTTGGATTGCACTTCCTGTTCTGATTGAATGTCATTCTCATATTGATTGTTGTCATCTCCATATTCATCATAGAAAATGTTTGGACTATCAAAATGCTCTTCTTTGATTGATACAAAGTTTGTGGAACTGCTCTGAGAATCGTGGATGGTCGAAACCACAATTTCTGATGCACTGGATGTTTGTGGCTGGCTATTTTGCTGTGTTTTGTTGACTAGTGTTATAAAATCGACGACTATTTTAGTTTTGGCATAGCATAAGTTGCATACATTCTTATTCTTTTCGGTATTATTCAATCGCTTTAATTAACAATTTTAAGAAATTGATATTAATGTCTTGTAAACAAAAATGTATGACTTACAACTACTGCATTTAAAAGGAACTGTGTTATTAATTTATCATTTATTGTGTGCATGAACGTTTTACTAATCTCTCCACAAAGTTTACAAGCTTCAAGAGACATTATTTATTTTGTTTACTGGATCTTGTTTCCTATCGCTGGATCTTTGTGTAAATAATTTCATACCCCTTAAAACTATAGCTTCTTGTCGCTTGAATTTCAAAAATAAATAAACCGTTAAATTTATATCAGCTTAAAAGTAGAGCACATACCAAAACAAAACACAGCACTTTTGGTAAGTCGTAGTGAAATCTTCAGTTTAGCAAGTTGATGACCTCTCTTGTGCATTAATTAGTGCTAAAAAATCTCGTTTTCATTAGCTATGAATATTTACAAAGCAGTCATTATTAAATCTCAGCTGTTAAGGTGCGAATAAAATGTGAATTAAAGCAGAAAAAAATTTATGAAAAATTCTAAAATTATTTACAGAACGATTAGCCATTCTTTGCGTAATAAGAACAGAAGTACGAATGTTCTTTGCGCGTTATCTGTAAGAAATTATAATAATAACTCCAAAGAAGAACATTTCAAGGTCAAGTGGAATGTAAATAATAAATACATCATAGCTGCAATTAGCACCGGAATTGGCTTCTCGTCTTACTACTATTACAATAAGAAAGGTATTTGATAAATGATTCTATAAATATATCAAGTCCATATATATGATTAGAACAGGCAGATAAGCGTCATCTGAATTTATGACGGAATCTTATCAGTAAATTAACGATGTTGTGTGACACAATTTTCGTTCCTTAATTCTATGTATAGATGCCGATTGTGCAGAGGTACAGCCAAAACATGAAACTGTTCGACGGGATTTACCCACTTTTTCGGCACAAGACGTCTCAAAGCATTCAAATGAGTAAGTTTATGTCTTACGTCTTATTGTGGACTTAACTAATCAAGTTCCATATCTAGAAAAACCGGTGTTTGGGTGACGTATGGAATTGGTGTCTATGACATCACAAAATTCATTTCTGAACATCCAGGATCGAAAAAGAACATCATGCTTGGTGCTGGAGTCTCAATTGAGCCATTTTGGCATACTTATCAGTTCCATAAAGAGGCTAAAATCCTTAAAATGCTCGAAAAGTTCCGGATTGGTAATTTAAAGCCTGAGGATAGAATTTCTATCCAAAATCAAGGAAATCCTTATGATAATGAGCCAGTCAGGAACTTAGACTTTATTGAGAGATCAAAAATCCCATACAATGCAGAGCCACATTTAACACAACTTGTTGAGCATTTCATCACGCCCGTTGAATTATTTTATGGTCTGTCCTCAATTTCAATTTAATTAAACAATCGATTTGCTTAATTAATTAATTTTTACAGTTCGAAACCATCTGCCAGTGCCTGATATCGACATTAATGAGGTAAAGTTTATGGCCAGTTATTTAATCTTATCTAATTTGATTTCTATCCAACATACAGTACGAACTTGAAGTGGATATAACTTCAACAGGTGTCTCAAGAACATTCTCAATGAATGATTTGAAGACCAAATTTGAGAAGGCAGGCGTTACTGCTGTTGTAATGTGCGGTGGAAATCGTCGATCAGAAATGAATGCTGTAAAGGAAGTTCGTGGACTTGGATGGGGTGGTGGAGCTTGTGGAAATGCAATTTTTACAGGCGTGAGACTTTGTGACTTCTTAACAGCTATGGGCGTTAAGTCTGACGAGAAGAGTCATGTAATTTTAGAAGGATATGATCGCGATCCAACTTATACTCCATATTCAGCATCAATTCCACTATCTAAAGCTTTGGATCCAAGAGGAGATGTCATTTTAGCGTACGAAATGAATGGCGAGCCACTAAATAGAGATCATGGATTTCCACTAAGATGTGTCGTGCCTGGTGTTGTTGGATCCAGACAAGTCAAATGGTTAGGTAGAATTATTATTGGAGATGTCGAATCTGACAGTCATTGGCAGCAAAATGATTATAAATCATTCAGTCCAAGTGTCGATTGGGATACAGTTGACTTTTCTAAAGCACCAGCAATTCAACACATGCCTGTAACATCAGCTATATGCTCACCAAATCCAGATCATCATGAGATAAAATTCACAGCTGATGGTAAAATGGAAGTTAAAGGCTATGCATATTCAGGTGGTGGAAATAAAATTATTAGAGTAGATGTGACATGGGATCAAGGCAAGACATGGCATCCAGCTGATCTTGTGCAATTAGAAGATGGTGAAAATGTCTCAGCAGGAAGGCACTACGCATGGACATTATGGAATATTAATGTTCCCGTTGAAAAGAATCAACATTATGTTGAAGTTTGGTCTAAAGCTGTTGACAGCAACTACAATTGTCAACCAGAAACTTTCAAGAATACTTGGAACTTGCGAGGCGTTGTAGCCAACGCATATAGCCGTATCGGAATCAACTTAAAGTAAACCAAAAGACTAAAGTTTACAAAACTTATTTTTTTTTTATGAATGCTCAAGTCCATTTTTCCCAGTGCATGAATTATACAATTTTTTTGTTGTTACAAAGATATTTTTTGTTATTAATTCTAATGTTAATCAAATTCGTATTTTACGAGTCATTTCGGTGGTAAAGTAATAAAGTACTATAAAAATTATTAATTATTAATTTAAACGCGCATGTAAGTTACTAGCCAGAGTTGAAGCATGAGGTATTAATGATTGCAGTTGGTTTTGTTCTAGACATTAAAAAATGAAAGACCCAAAAATTAGATTTTCAGACCTCCTAGATCCTCCTTATCGTTTTTGCCTTAGTGCCATAAACTGTACCCAGACTTTTGAACTTTCGGAATCATCCACATTAAATCTTAAATGGGGGGGGGGGGGGGGGTCAGAAAGAAAAGAATAATAGAAATTCCAGGAAATCCATTGTTCTTTTTAGAAAAATGACCGTTAATTTCGGACGTCATAAGTAAACGGCCCCCTCTGAAAATTCATTGTTGTGTTACAACTGGCGATAAAATAAAAATAAAATTAAATATTTATGAACTGTAGATACAAAATAAATGTTACTGACATGCATGTCCGACATTATTCCGAAAACAAAAATTTCCTAGAATGAATTAAATCACGTGTGTTACTTTTACATGTTTTTTGACTGATTCTTTGAATTTTTCATTAAGCAGACAGCTTGTGCCTGTATGTAGTTTTAGTACTTTTCTCTTTTAAAGCTTTGCGGTCTGCTGAATTAAAGTGAATGAAAAAGGAGCCGTTCACTTATGACGTCCAGAGGGGAGGAGGGGATAAACAAGAAATGAACGAGTGTTGCAATACAGGCACCTGTGCACAGATGAGAACCGTACAATTCCTTCTTCTTCTTCTTCTTAATTATCTTTATTAAGGTCCTTTTTAATAAATTTTAAGACCATTTTCAATTCCAAATATGTTTTACATTATTTTAAATTTATAAATACGAACTGCAGTACAGGATATTATGTGTTTTGGTGTTAGATTTTGTCGTAAATATTAATTTCTTTTAGAAAGTTTAAAATTTTGTCTGTTTCATCTTTTTCGTCTACTTCAAGTGTTTTGTAACTGATATTAAATTTTGAAATAGCTGATTGGTTGTTTGTGCATTCAAATATATGTCTGACTGTAAGTGGGATGGTGCATGTGCATATTGGGGGAGAAGTTTTTTCAATAAGATGTATATGTGTTAGATTTGTGTGTCCAATTCTAAGTCTTGTCAGTACTGTCTGGTCTTTTCTTTTATATGTGTCAATATTTGTCCATTTCTTACATGTTTTTTTGATGTTTCCTAATTTATTTCCGTTTCTGATTTCCTCATTCCATTCTTCTTGCCAAAGTTTTGTGACATGCTCTTTTACATGTTTTGTAACGTCTTCAATCAATATTTTATAGTTTGTGTAAAGTTGTTGTTTTGTGGCTTCTTTTGCATGTTTGTCTGCTTCTTCGTTTCCTTTTATTCCAGTATGGCTTGGTATCCACATTATTGTTGTTTCTGTAGTATTGTCTCGTAATTTATCTTGGATTTGCTGTAGCATTGTGTTTTTTGTATGTGAGCTTCTTAATGCCTGGACTACACTGAGCGAATCAGTGCATATGAGTGTTTTATTGGTTAATCTATGTTTTAATGCTTTTGATAGCGCGAATAGCTCTGTTGTGTACACTGTTGAGTAATCGTGACATTTATATTTGTATGTATTGTCTCTTGTTACCACTGCTGCTCCGTATCCTTCTTCTGTTTTAGATCCGTCTGTGTAGATTATTTCGTACCCTTTTCTTGTGTATGTGTCTAGTATTTCGTTGAATGTTCTTTTGATTACTTCGTGTGATGTGTTGTCTTTGTTGAATTGTGTCATTTTCAAATTGATTTTGAATTTAGATTTTCTCCAGAAAGGATGAAATGAAGATTGTGGTTTACAGAATTTTGTGTCTTTGTTGATGTTCATTTTTTGTAGTTCTTGTCTCATGATATACGTTATTGGTGGATTTGTCAATTTTTTGTATTTGTTGTCTTTGGAATCGTCTTGTAGACTAGGGTTTAGAATGTTTTTGCTGTTGTTTTTGACTTTGCATGCGTATTTTATTAGGTGTATTTTTCGTTGATGTTTTAGTGGGGTGATTCCTGATTCTATGTGGACACTTGCATTTGGTGATGTGACAAAAGCACCAATTGCGTATTTTGTACTTCTTGTGTGTATTGTGTTAAGTTTCCGTTCATCCTTTTTTGTGAGTTTTGTAAAAATAAGTGCTGAATAGTTATGTATCGATGTTGTGACTGCTTCGTGTATTCGTAGCAGAGTTTGTCTCTCTCCTCCATATCTAGTGTGTGATAGCATTTTTATTAAGTTGATGTTTTTTGTTGTTTTGCTATGTAATTGATTGATCTGTTCCGTCCACTTGAGATTATTATTAAAAATAACTCCAAGAAATTTATAGTTGTCGACGTGTTCAATGTTTTGATTGTTCAATTTTATGTGTGGTATTTTAACATTTTTCTTCAGTTGTTTTGTGAAGTGCATGATTTTTGTTTTGTCTATTGAAATCTCAAGACCATTTTTGTTCATCTGTGTACTTGTTTCATTAAGTGTTTTTTGTAAGTTTGCTTCGGTGGATTTAGTGTCCTTTCCATTGCGGAAAAGGACCAAATCGTCAGCATATGCACAAAACTTTGTATGTTGATCTATGTTGTTGAGTACATCGTCGAACACTATGTTGAATAGTGTGCATGATAGTACTGAGCCTTGTGGAATTCCGTTGTCCATATATCCTGTGTCTGATTCTATGTTTCCTATTTGAATGTTGAATGTTCTGTTTTGCAAGAAGCTGTTGATGTAATTAACTATTTTTCCTTTAAATCCAAGTCTTTCCATATGTTCTTTGACTTTGTGCGTCCAGACTCTGTCATACGCGTTTTTTAAATCGATAAAAACTGCTGTTGTTTGTTCTTGTGATGCAAAACCTTTCTGTATGCTGTCAACTAAGTATGTAATGTTGTCTATTGTACCTTTTCCTTTTAAAAATCCTGATTGAAAGTTGTTTAAAAGATTTTTGTTTTCTAATGTCCATTGTATACGTTTATTTATTATTTTTTCCATCAATTTGCACGTGCAGCTTGTAAGAGCTATAGGTCTGTAGCTTGTTGCTTGTCGTGGGTCTTTGCCGGGTTTTTTGATTGGGATAATTATTGAGTGTTTCCATGTTTGTGGTAGTCCTTCATTTAGTATCTTATTGTATAGCTGTAATAACATTTGTTTCCCTTTTTGCGTTAGGTTTCTGATCATATCGTAATGCACTTTGTCAGGTCCAGGTGATGATCCTTTTGTTTGTGCTATTACTTCTTCTAATTCCTTCATTGTTATGTTATCGTTATATGCTTCGTTTGTTGTGTCTTCAGTAATTGTTTCATTTGTGGTTGATTGTTCTTTAAGATTTTTGAGATTAGTGTTTAAGTTTTCATCGCTATAGATGTACTCGAACGTATCTTTAATAGTGTTTGCTATTTCTATTTGATTTGTTGTGTATGTACCGTCTTGTTTGTTAATTTTTCTTATTTCTGTATTCTTACTTTTTCCGCTTAATGTTCGCACTTTGTCGTAGATTTCTTTTGTGTTAGCTTTGTGATTTAGTGTAGATGTGTACTGTCTCCAGCTTTCTGTTTTAGCGTTATTTATCATTTGGCGTATTTCTATTGTTAGCTCTGTAATTTTATTGCGTATTTCTGGATTTAAAGTGTTCTTATATATTCTTGTATTCTTTTTTCGTTCAATTATTTTTTGTTTGATGTCGTCATTCCAGAAAGGCAATTTTCTTTTGCCTTTAAATGTTTTTATATATGGGATTGACTTATTTGCTGCGTTTATTATTCTTTGTGTATAGTCTCTTTCCATGTTATTTATATTTGATGTATCGATGTTGTCGAAGTTAAGGTTCTTTTTGAATTCGTTCCAATCAGCTTTTTTGATGTTGAATAATTGTCTTTGTGTCTTTTCGTATTGTGTGAATGGGAAGGAAATCAGAAGCGGAAAATGGTCACTTCCATGTAGATCGTCAAGTACTGTCCAATCTGTGAAAGTAGCTAAATTTTGTGTGCATATTGTTAAGTCAATGGATGTTAGTCTACCGTTAGTGGCAATATGTGTAGGGAGTTTTTCGTTTAGTATTGTCAATGAGTGTAGTTCTGCTAATTCTGTAATTATAGTTCCTCTTCTGTCTGTTTTATGTGAACCCCATAATACGTTATGCGCATTAAAGTCACCTGTCAATATATATGAATGTCCTAATTGTGTAATTAGATTTTCAAGTTCGTCTTTTAATGTTTGTGTAGGTATATTATGGTCTATGTAAATGTTACAAATAACAAAATCGAATGGATATGTTACGTGAACGGCTATAGCTTGTAAATTTGTGTTAATGTGAAAAAGAGAGGATTGTATATTTAAATTAACTAGTGTCATAACACCTCCACAAGCATAATTGTCCTGTGTACATGTCTTATTTTTAATATATGTTTTGTAATTATTTAATTGTGTGTCAATATTTAATTTAGTTTCTTGTAAAGTAATGTAAAGTGGTTGAAATTCATTAATAAGTACTTGCAGTTCGGATTTATTTGTAAAAAAGCCTCTAATGTTCCAATTTAAAATTGATGTTGTGTTATTCATTATGTTATCATTTCTTCGTCTTCATCTTCGTCTCCGCTTTTAGCATCTGTGTTGTTGATTCGGGATTTTTTGTGTGTCTCTTCATCAGTTGATTGTTCTTGAGGATTATAGTTGATTTGTCTTAATCGTTTATTTTTGTTAATTAATTGTGGTGTTTCTTTAATGTTATTTACTGGTGGTGTTTGCTTTATGTTATTTATTTGTGGAGTTGTTTTGTTGTTGTGGTAATTGCAGTGCTTGCAACTGCAGATTGTTTCGATTTGTGTTGATGTAATTTTTGCGTACGTTATTCTGTTAAGATTGGACCGTTTAACTGCTTCGGCCATCGAAACATTTTGTGTTACTCTGATAGTCTGGATGTCTACTTGTCGTTTGTACTCTGTACAATTTCTGTTGTAGCTATTATGACCAGTTTCTTTGCAGTTTACACAAAAAGCTTCCTTTGTGCATTTTTCATCTCTGTTTTGGATATGTTTGTTGCTGTTGCAGTTGTAGCATGTTGGAGATTCTTTTATGTTACAATATTTTGAAAGATGTCCAAACTTATGGCAAGCAAAGCATCTCATCGGAGTGGGAATATAAGGCCTGACGCGCACTCGCAACAGTCCGACCGTCAGATATTCCGGCAAATTGCTCACTCCAAAGGTGACAAAGACTAAACCAGTGTTGATTGTTTTACCGTTGATTGTCTTTTTGTGCATTCTTACGTCTATTACTTGTTGTGATTTTAAATAATCTGATAGCGTTTGTTCGTCTTCGTTTTGTAATTCGTATGCACGAATCACGCCCTTACAACTATTCATCGTTTTGTGTTCTGTAACCTGTATTTTTGCGTCTAGGATGCCTGTTATTCGTATTAGGTTTTGTGCTTGTCTCAAGTTTTCTGTTTTTATCAATAAATCTCCACTTTTTAGGACTTTACAATCCAACTTTCCATTTTGTGTTGCATTGTGTATAGCTTTCTCCAATAATATTGGAGAAAAATCCTTCATTGTTTTGTTTTCGTGGTCTCTGTGCATAATCAAATATTTTTCTCCTTCTGTGTTATTTGTTAATTTTATTGTTGAGTCATACCTGATGTTTGAATGATTGTTGATATTTATTTGCTGTGATTGACTTGGGAAAAGTTGTTCCTTTTTATCAGCTATTAACTTGTCCTGTAATTTCTGGAGCTGATTTGCTGGCAGTTTTGCTGTGCTTTTATTGTTTTTTGTCTGAACCATTGTAAGAGATCCGGCAAAGCCGAGACTTGTCACTTTTTCGTCACAAATTTTTTGTTTTTCCTGCTTTTTCGGTTATTTATGAATGTAATCACTATAATTTTATTCAATTTGCGTAATTAATGTATTCTTTAGTACTTTGTGTAGATTTGTTCTGTCTTATTATTGTTATTTATACTCAAATTTTTAATTTTGTAAGATTTTTGTTGTGCTTAGTCCAAGGGGCAAAGAACTTTTTTTGCCGTACAATTCCTTAATAATTTATAAAGTTTTTTTTAACAAAACCATACAAATTCAAATAAAACCTCACAAATTATCAAGGAATTGTACGGTTCTTAGGTGTCTGTATCGCAACCCTGATGTCAATTTCTATTGTTCTTTTCTTGATGAACCCCCCCCCCCCCCCCCCCTGGACGTCATAAGTGAACGCAGAGGCGTAGCCAGAAAAGTTTTAAGAGGGGGGCCCATTTTCGAAAATTAAAAAAATTGTTATTTTGTATCCTTAAATCTATATTCATTCTTTATAAGTTTAAATATTTAATTCATTATTCATACATTAAATTTAATTTTTCGATCTGATTTTGACATTTCTTTCATCACTTCCTCTACATTAACTGGTTCTTCTCTATAAATACTTAATAAAACAATTAACAGATTTTCGTAGGGGGGGGCCGGGCCCCCTATGGCCCCCCCCTGGCTACGCCCCTGAGTGAACGGCCCCAAACGTAATTTTTGGATTTTTTGGTGATTACTTTGACGCAAACTTGACATTCCTTTGTTTAGAAAATCCAGACATAATTTTTTTTTTAAGATTTCAATTAATTATTAATTTATTCCTTCAAAGTGCGTCATTATCAAACGTTTAAAAGACTAGCTACTTAAATTTCTTGGATAGATGCAAATAAAACAAAAATTGTCAAGGCATGACGTCAGTTAATGTTTTTACCTCAATTTATAGTTTGAACAGATGACAAGGGTCAAAAAACTATCTTTAAATGCCATTAGTTCATTTGTCTTTAAAAAAAAATTAACAGAAGTTACCTAATTAGAAAGATCAATATGGAGTCGTCCATAAATGACGACAATCAAAGAATTTAGATTTTTAGACTTCCACCATAAAATCCACAAAATCGTAGACCACCATAAAAAGTAGACGTCATTAGTGGATGATCCCCAAGGATTAATCATAAATATCCACATGCATTAGCTGTTATTGACTTTACAAGCATCTTGAATGAGTTTATTGAAATTTTTTTAAATAACCGACAAAGCTTCTAATTTGCAGCATGAGAATAATTACAGCATGTAGTTAACAGATGTAGAAACGCATTCATTTAACAATCTTTCCTGTAATTATAGTGCAGTAAAATTAATTAACAATTCATGCCCCATAAAGTTTTTTCTTAAAACATCCAGAAGAACCAGCTTAAAACTAAGATCATCTAAAATGATTTGGAAGTTATTGAAGTGTCTGCAAATCACTTAAAAATCATAATCCTGAGGAAAAAATGGTAAAAACCCAAATGAATTAAGTCATGTGCTGATTGACTGATGCAAATTATTTTATAGACCATAAAACCTAATATTTATAGCTTTATTGTGGATTTTTTTAAAGCCAAAGTCAACTTTTGCACATAGCTTCTATGAGTAGACTCACGTAGCTATTTTTTACTCTAAAACCCTAGCTACTATCAGTTGCAGAACAAAAACATTTGGATCTAAATTCAAAGTGTAATCTGATAAAATTAATTATAATGCAGAATTTGTGTCAACTTTGAGTTCCGATTAGGTTTTATTTGGAATTTCCAAAAATCCTCAATAATCGTGACTCTAAAATTATCAAACTCTCAAAAGTTTATTGAACCTTTAACTGCGACACTTAGTTTACTGTTGACCAAGTCATTCATACTACTTTTGCGATAATTTTTGACACAATTCATCAACTTCTGACCTTGTAGCTTATATCTTATCTTGGCGCCGAAAAGGTTACTCATTAATTGAAAAATAACAAAAAAGATTAGAAATACGTGAATGGTTGTGTACCTTAAATGTGATTTTATTTTGCTCATTTATAGATTCGGGAAGTCAACAATTGAATTTTATTTAGGGCATATCATTTTGATAACAATTCTTAGGGCTTTAAGGCTTGAGATTTATATTGGTACTTAGAAAATGTTTTCAGCCTTTAGAAGAAGGCACAAAATTTGTAGAAAAGATTAATTTGGAAATTCCTGAAACTCAAAAAGATTCTGAAAGTTCTTGCAGATTTTGAATTGGAAGTTCGGTCTAAAGAAAGCCTTTCAAAATGGTTAAAATAAGATCAAGAATAGCCTTTAAAGGCTTAAAATAAGATCAAGCCATAATACATACAGATTCGGCTTTGAAACGTCATTGGTAAAAATTCAACAACAAAGTCTTTAGTTCCACTCATTTCCTTTAATCTCTTATAATTGTCCAAGCTACGTCATAAATATAATTTACAGCAAAAAAAAAGAATAATTGAAGTCAGTTTTTTCCCAACAACTTTAGTCCAACCTTCGCCAATTCCTTAAATCACTCGATCGGTCAAGTTACGTCGTAAATATGATTTGTGCTAGAAAAAAATTTTAATTGAGTTCTTTTCCTGACAAAAGATTAATCTTGCTTTATCCTAAGCACTTTTTATTTCACCTCAAAATGGATAAGTGACGTAAATTGAGCATTAAGAAGTAAACAGCGATTTTCAGTTCTTTGATCATTCTTCAATTTCCATCATTTTCGGGCTGCAGAGTTGGGAAAATTTTGAAAAACTCTGCATATGATTTGTTCAAAAACGATATCTGAGTTTTGGTTGAATGTAAATTATAAGTCAGCTCTTGTTAATGTCTTAAAGTAAGAATAAAAGAGGCTTGTTCATAAATTATCAGTTCTTCTTTGATTGACGTCATTCTTGAACATTTCTTATCTGTTTATGTGGTTTTTGCAGTGTCATCAGAGGCGTACCTAGGATTTTTGTTTATGCTTTATTTTCACCTTTTGTGTACTGATTTTTGTTGCGAATTTTAATCTACCCATTACAAAGTGTCATTTCATTAATTTATAAATTCAGGTTAAGGGGCCGTTCACTTATTACGTTCGCAGTTTTAAATTATAAAAAAATGTAACATAGGGGGAGGGGGGGGGGGGGGGGGTGATGTCAAGAAGTATCTAACGTCTGTCTTTTTAAAAAAAAGTTCATGAAAAAAATTTGACACTTTTTTAAATTTTCCACGTTCAAGGGGGGGGGAGGGGGGGGTTGTGAGTTGTAACATATTGTAACAAGGGGGGGAGGGGGTGAAAAAAGTCGTTTTTTTGCGTAACGTAATAAGTGAACGAAAGTATTAATAACTTTAAAGTCGCTAGCGATTCTGATTGACATTGACAATAACAGTCGCATTCAACCGTGGATTTAACCCGCACATTTATAATTTTATTGTTTGCCAAAAATTGCCGGTTCCTGAACATCCCAACTCTGACTTTTCGGCATTTACGAATCAAATAAAAATCATTTAAAAGTCGATGAGACTCACAGAAAATAAAAATTCTCACTATAGTTACGACTGCGCACAGAACAGGCTGATTTTTTGTTTTTAAAGAGAAAAAAAAATCCATTTAGACAATAATTGTTAGTTTGTGAAGTTATGAAATAAGTAGCAAGTCAACAGTATTTAAAGTTATTGTGTGATAAACATACGAATTTACTTGCTTTAATTATTATGTCATGACAAGTGACTTTGTCATCAATTTTTTGTGATTAATTGAATCAAATTGTGGATTTTTTAAATAAAAATTTCGCATAATTTTCTTCTATTGCGGCAGACGAAAAGTCTCAGTTCTAGTGCTCTTTAAAAAGAGAGCAAAATATCTATAAATATTGTAATTTAAGAGAGTAGTGAGCATAGTGAGACTTTTAAGCATGGGAACAAAAGTGAATTTATATAAGCACTGGAAGAAATTAGTGATAAATGTATCATTGATGCTGAGTGGCAGTTTATTGATACTTTTTTGGCCAGACATATGGAATCATATTCTGTTCAAGGTAAGCATGACAATTAATTTTAATAGATTGAAGGCTCTTAGCGGAGAAAGTTGTCTACTGGATCTTCTTGTCATGCATAAATTGTCTAGTCTTGCCGGTGTTTTATGCCTGACTTTAATTTGTTTTGATCTCTGGACCAAAAAAAATCACAATCCATACAATTACAAAACTAATTGCTCTAAGTTTAGAATCACGATTCCCGACCATAAAACCTTGAAGTTGATGAATATCAAGATCGGAAGATATTAAATTAAGCATGACATTGTGAACTCAGATGGTCAAAAAAATGATTATGATAATTGCTACAATTTTAACGAGTAATGTGCTTAATTCTACATTAAAATTCTGTATGTGACCCATATTTTGTGATTCTTACTATTTTGTGTAAACATGACACCGCTGTGTCGTGTGGAAAAGAAGATAAAATGCAAGGTGGCATGTGTTTGGTTCTCAATTTTTGCAAATCACGATGATAACAAAGCATAAGATTTATTTTATTAGAAAAAAACATATTAGACACTCAGAAATGGAATTCTTTTAATTCTCTGACTAGTTTGCAGATATTTTGGATAATCTGTAAATTTTATAATGACTGTTTTATGTTGAAAACAGATGCAGACAAGTCCAGTTTGGAGGAAATCAAATCCATATCCTTAAATTTGATAAGTTTTGAGTAGTCAGTCTATAAATATAACTGTCTACTTTTTGTAGCTCGGGTTAGGGTTGCGACAAAGGCACCTGTGCACAGGTGAGAACCATACAATTCCTTCTTCTTCTTCTTCTTCTTAATTAACTTTATTATGGTCCATCAGCTTATTGCTATTTAAAGACCGTTCACAATTCCAGGTAGTTTAATTTACAAATATACACAAAGAACAATCAATAAAATCCAGTCAACTCCAAATGGTTGACAGAAAACATGCCCGCGATAAGTCAAAACAACAAAAAACCATCGCTAGGCAAAAAATTCCATCTTGAGTTGTCGATGATCCAGATCCCTTCGCAGTCCTTCTTGCAATTCAACTTGTGATATTCCAAATAGATTCAAATTTTTGTTATGTCTCGATTGTGATCTGTCAATGTAATTAATATGTTCTGCTGTATTCCGAGATGATCGATTCCTGTTTGTCAATGTTGATTTGTTGAAATCCAGTCAGCACCAATTGATTGATAGAACTTGCCCGCGATATATGGGGAAACATACAAAACCCATCGCGAGACAAATTCTTCTCACAATTGAAGCTAATCCGTTGTATTCCAATAATATTCATTAGGTCTAGGTTATGGTTATGATAGAACCTTCTTGTCCACGATTGTTGGTAAAACACAAAAAACCCACGTGAAACAGTTGATTCTCCTCACAACTGCCTCTGATCATGATTTGTCAATGTAATTAAATGTTCTTTGGTATTCCGATGATGATCAATTCCGTTTTATATTTTGTATTGATTATGTGCAAAAATTTGCACCTTTTTTGTTCAATTCCAAAGTTTCTCCAAATTTAACTAAATCGCGACTTTTTTGAGTTTTCTCCTTTGTTAATCTGTTCCTTAGTTATTTGTATGCACTTTAAACTATATTTGCTGTCTGGTTCCTACGCGTAAATAATTAAATTATGGAAAATTGACAATTCCACAACCTCGTTGTTCGGAGGTTGGGAGAAAACTGACCTCACACATTTTCAAGGAATTCTTATCTGTGCACAGGTGCCTGTATCACAACCCTGGCTCGGTTTAGAATATGTTCTTAGAGCTAGCTCTTATGTCTAGATATGCTCTTAAAGCAATATCGATATTGTCTACTTATACTTTTGTTTCAGAAATGTTTGAAGCTTCTCCAACGAGGCCGAAAGGTTCTAGTCTATTGCCTATTGTTTTACTCTATAAGCACTCAACATGTTAAAGTCTAAAAAATACTTTTGTTATGGTTTTTTAAGGTCGAGTTGTAAATAACTTGTTTATCCTCGTATCTTTCAGACAAAGCATATTAGCCTTATGAGTAATAACTAGTTCCTTATATCATAGAACTTAATGTTATCAAAGACATATTCATTAAGATTTCTATTACTATAGATTGACACTGCTATGCTAAGTCCGATCAAATGCTACCTCCAATGTCGTATGCAAATCAAGTCACACGCTTCGTTCGATAATTCTTCATTCTTTTTCTATCTCTTAATTTAATTAATTCCGATTCTTTTATCTTCTTTTACATTACTATGTGTGTACAGCTATAGACTAAAATTCCAAACACTTGCCATTAATATTGTAATTATTTTCTTCTTATTCTAAAGCAATGGGAGTTGAAGCCAGGCAGACTAATGTACAAATTTTGGCAAAATCCACCTCAACCACTGTACCTCGATATTTATTTCTTTAACTGGACAAATCCAGAAGAGTTTACAAATAATTCATCGACACCAAAATTCCAAGAAGTTGGACCTTATAGATTTCAGGAATTTCCACAAAAAACGAACATTACCTTTCATGAAAATAACTCAACTGTTGGCTACAGAAAGCAAAGCCGGTACATTTTTATTCCTGAACAAAGTAGAGGAAAGATGACTGACATTTTAACAACTCCAAATGTCGTTGCACTCGCAGCATCGAATCAAGCAAGAAGTTTTAACATTTTAAAAGTTAAAGGAGTCGAACTTAGTCTAGCCTTTTTTGGACAACAAATTTCCGTGACTAAAACAGCATCGGAACTTTTGTTTGAAGGATATGAGGACTCAATGGTTGGAGTGGCGTTAGAAATAGCAAAAATAATGGGAATTAACATGCCTTTTAATGATAATCGATTCGGTTGGTTCTATGAAGTATGCCTAGCTTATTTCTATGACTAGCTTCAATCACTCTAATTCTTATATTTTTCTAGAGGAACGAATCAAGTCAATTGATTGGACATTTCAATGTCGATACGTCGTTATCAACATTAGGTCAGTTAAGAGAATGGACAATGATGGCAAAGCCAAAATTTCTAGAGACTAATTGCGGAAGTTATAAAGGAGCTTCAGCTGGTGATCTATTCCCTCCTAAATTAGCTAAAAAGAGTCAAATGATCTCAGTATTTGCTAATGATATGTGCAGAAGCATTGATCTCGATTTTGTGGAAGAAACTGAAGTTGAAGGAATTACTGGAAGAAAGTTTGTAGCCGGGGATCGAGTCATTGATAAGTAAGGCATCCTTAAATTTTAAATTAATTCAAGAACTAATGATTTTATCATGTTTTCAGTGGAACCAAATATCCAGAGAATGAATGCTATTGTAATGGTGAATGTGTGCCTTCAGGAGTCCTTAATATTACAGCATGTCGATTAGGTGCTCCAGTTTTTGTGTCTTATCCTCATTTTTATAGAGGCGATCAATATTATTTGGATCAAGTTGAAGGCATGAAGCCTGACAAGGAAAAACATGAATTTTTCATGACACTTGAACCGGTATGTAGTTGTAGCTGTTATTGATTAATATTGACATTAATTTTTTATTAAACACTAGAAAACATCGTTGCCGTTGGAAGTGGCTGGAAGATTTCAATTGAACCTTTTAGTGAAACCAATTCCAAAGATTAAGATGTACCGAGACGTCCCAACCAAGTTTTTACCGATCGTGTGGTTTGAACAGTATTTTAAAGTCGATAATCAGCTATCCCTGATGATAAAGCTCATGCTATGGATTCCATTTATAGGACAAATCCTAGGATTCATTATAGCTATTATCGGAATTTATCAAACCTACAAATTTACCTACGCTCAGCAAGGAAAGAAATTCACAATTCCTAAAGACATTAGCTTAGAAAGCACAAAAATAAGACTGCCTGAACTATCTCCTCTTGTTAATCAATAAACATGATTTTGAAGACATTTAGGAAGTAAATGAATAAATTATTTGTGATTATTTTGTATTAATAAAAAATAATTGTTGGCGAATTTAAAGACATAAGAAAATAAATTGTTTTTTTTTGGATATAATTGGAACCCCTTACAGCTATGCAAAATAGATGAGGTATACTGAGTAGATTGCTACTCAAGCTACTTGAATATTTGGTATGTATTGGATGTAAATGGAAATGATTTTACTAGGCCGGATATGGTTACAAATTTGATGATTCTTATTATTGACGTCATAAGTGAAGGCCCCCTTATGTAACTTAGTTATTGAAATCAAACTTTTTAAGGTTCTCGAGACTTAAAATTCTCAAAAAACCTTGGGATTAAATTCAAAATCATTTTCAAACTCATCGGAAAAATCAGTTGGAATTTGAGTTTTGACTTAACCTTCTAGCCTGTTTATAACTCTTGAAACGTGCTGCACACTATTTGAGAACCACTCGCTTAAATGCATTCAATTTCAAGATCATAAAAAGTTTTTCATTTTCAACTCACTCGAACTACAGCTAAACAACCGGCAAAATTTGTGAACTTTTTAAGAGTCAATAAAAACCAAAATTCTTAAGCATATTGCATTTTATATGCACAAAAACTTGTCTTTGAGTCTTAGCAAGTTTCATTCCATTTTATTTTATTATCAGAACTGTTCATAATAACTTCTGAATATTTTTACAATAAAATATCAAAGAACAAAAACTGAGAGAATCAAGTTAAGAAAGAGACAAACGGAGTCTTTAGCTAAAAAGGATATATAAGAGGAGATTTTCGTCAAGAGCTCTTTCATTTTTAAACCTCCGGATAGTGAAGAGTTCGGTTAATATCTGCTGAAGTTTAGCGAGAGAACATTTTTGTGAAAGATTTAAGTGAGGAATGAAAGAATTTACATTTATTTTTGTGCATAATTTAAAATAAATTAAGGAGAGTCAGGAATACATAATTCCGTGCTGATCTTGTTTGTGCTTTGTTATTGTTTAATATTTTTGACCCGAGATAGTAAAATTCAATACCGCATGCATTAAATGAAACCAAGCTAGATTCATTAAAATCTTTCATAAATGATGTTGATCAAAAATCAAAAAATCAAAACAAGTCAATAGATTCCTAGGAGACAATAAACACTAATGACCATGAAGTTTGTTTGGTCTAGTTATGAACTAGACATTAATATCAAGAGTCCACTCAATGATCTTTTGATTAATCACATTAATTTGCATTTTTAAAAATGCTACAGAAATAAAAAATAAATATTCAATAACCTTTGAAATTTTCACAAATGCTTAGCTGTGGATATAACGTATGATATAGAACATTATATTTTTCGAATGACATTTTGTGGATATACTCTAGTTTAACTCCTGTGTTATTTCAGAAGGAAATTAATGAACTTTACGTTGAATGACATTTAATCCTTTGAATCAATAAACTCTTAAAATCAAAGTGATTGTAAAGTCAGGAATTAACCTGATAATCTTAATCTACTAATCTCATTTTAAGTTTCATTGAGTTTTTTAATTGAACTTAACTTGATAATTTACAACTTTAGTTGACTGTTTAAGTGCTGAAAGATTCAAGAAAACAATAAAAATTAGTTTTAGGAAGCGTTTAATATTCTTGAAAGAAGTCATTTGAATATTAATTAGTGTTGGATGTAAATTATAGATTAAAGATTAATGAATAGGCTTAATCAGATTCTGAAATTATTAATTTTATAACATTGAATTTTATTTTCTCATACACCTGATAAACGTTTTTAAAAGATGCCATGTAAATTTTAAGATTATTATTTATAGCTTTTTAAAAACAGAAGTGGATTAAAATAAAAGACAGAAATGAGAGCAAAAGAAAATCTATTTGAGCACTGGAAGAAGTTAGCTATCAACATTATATTGACGCTGTTTGGAATTTTATTGGTTTTATTTTGGCCTAAGATTTTTGATTATATTCTATTCAAGGTATGTTTTCATTCTTAATTATTCTTTAGGAACAAAATGACTTGGCGAAATTATTTAACAAATTAAAAGATTTAAATCGTTGACCAAATTCTTTTAAAAGTTTAACATAGTTTGATCTTGTGAAATACTTTTTGCCATTGTTTTAAACTGTTTACACTACAGTCAAATGATTAAAATATTGACAATGCTAAAACAAAGAAATTTTTGTTGAATGAAACACTGACAAACAGCTGTTCCTCCATAAAACACATTTTTTGAATAAAGAAATATTAATTTACTTATTTTTAAAGCAATGGGAATTGAAACCTGGCACACTAATGTACAAATATTGGCATGACCAACCTCCAGTGAAGATGAATTGTTACTTTTTTAATTGGACTAATCCTGAAGAATTTTTGAATCATTCATCAACCCCAAAATTTGAAGAAGTCGGACCATATACGTTCCTAGAATATCCTCGTAAAGCTAATGTCACTTTCCATGACCACAACTCAACAGTCACTTATAAAAAGGAAAGCAAATTTATATTTGATCCTGAATTGAGCGTTGGAAAAATGACTGACATTATAACATCGCCAAATTTAATTTCACTTGCTGCATCAAAGCAAGCACAAAGCTTCAATATTTTAAAAGTTAAAGGAGTTGAACTTGGATTAGCTTTTTTCGAGCAAAAATTTCATGTCACAAAAACAGCATCAGAGTTACTTTTTGAAGGATATGAAGACTCAATGATTGCAGTTGCAGCCGAAATTGTGAAATTTATGGATATTGAAGTACCATTTGATGATCGATATGGTTGGTTTTATAAGGTATAATAGATGATGATTTTGAAATTAATTACAGCATTAACAGTTTATATCCATTAATTTATTTAGCGAAACGAGTCTAGCAGAATTACAGGTCAATTTAATGCTGACACATCTTTTTCGTCATTTAGTGAATTAAGGCATTGGACAGCATTGTCAAAACCTAAATTTCTTGAATCGAATTGCGGAAGCTATAAAGGAGCTTCATCCGATGGACTTTTTCCACCACTGATGGCCAAAAATGCTCAGATGATTTCAGTATTTGCTCATGAAATGTGCAGACGCATTGATTTAGATTTTGTAGAAGAGACTGAAGTTAATGGAATCAATGGACGAAAATTTGTAAGCGGTGATCGAATGATTGATAATGGAACCAATTATCCAGAAAATGAATGCTATTGCACTGGTCGATGTGTACCGTCAGGAGTCCTTAATATAACAGCTTGTCGTTGTGGTGCTCCAATTTTCATATCATATCCTCATTTTTATAAAGGCGATCAATACTATTTAGATCAAGTTGAAGGAATGAAGCCTGACCAGGAAAAACATGAAATGTTTATGACACTTGAACCTGTAAGTTATAAACCTTAATATCTTGTCATTTAATAAAAAAAAAAAATCCTTTTAGAAAACTTCAATGCCATTGGAAGTAGCAGGAAGATTTCAAATAAATATTTTAGTTGAGCCAATTCCGAGGATTAAAATGTACCGTAACGTTCCGACTAAATTTTTACCAATTGTATGGTTCGAGCAGTCCTTTAGAATAGATAATAAAATGACATTTGTAATAAAGTTAATATTATGGACTCCATTGATTGGACAAATTATTGGATTTATCATAGCAGTTGTCAGCATATATATGATATATAAATCTCTACAAGCTGAGAAAAAGGAGCAGAACTGTCCAAAAGAGAACCTCAAAAGTAGAGTTCCCGAATTATATCCTCTAGTAGATTCTAAATTACCTCAACCCCAGTAACCAAACGTAGAACGTTCTTTCTCGCAGATAATCTTTCTCTTTATATTCTAGTAAAAAACTGGTTTAACTATAGCTGAGATAAACCAATAAAAAAATGCATTAGGTACAAACTTTATCTTTTAAACAGATTTTTAGCTAGCTTCAATAACCTAGCTAAAGAATATCTAAATACTATCTTCTTTTACAATAGCCTTTACAATTCTTCATTTTCCTAGCAATTAGCTAACTTTTCCTAGCTAGCTAAAAGTAAGTCTTTTAAAACAAGATTTTGACTAAAATATAATAAATGAGTTTTTTCAGCTAGTTAAAAGAAAGTTAATTACTAATTGCGATTAGAATTTTCCAATTGCTCATGCTCATATTCATAAAAATGTTAATCGAGGTTTGACTTTTAAGAAGTGAACACGTTGTTAGTTGTAGTTGAATAAAAAAACATCATTTTAAAAACTTTAGTAATTTAAAGTGCTTAGTTGTAATGGGTAAGTACAAACTTAATCAAGAATTAACAAAGAGTGGACGATATAAAAGAAAAAAATTAATTATTCTCATTTTCCAATTATGCTAATGATTCGTTATTTGAAAATTTCATACTATATAACTTAATTTCTATTTTAATTTAGCATACTGAGCAGTCCTGCCCTAATACTTTCAGTACATCTACAACCAATCAACAAGAAATCCCGCAATCCGACCTAGTTGACAACAATTTATCTTCAATCAAGCAACAAGAAGTTCCACAAAACTCCCAAAACATAAATTGTTTTGATTCAGGTATCAACGCTGATTCACCGCGTTACGTATTAGTGGAAGAAGTCGCATTGAAGGTAATATTTTATCAAATTTTGCTACATAAATAATAAGGTTTTAATTCAATAATTTTATTTCTGTAGATTATCATTCAATCTCTTGATGAACTTAAGCTAGCTGTCAAGATATTGACAGATACTATTATGAGTGGAAATCTGGATTTAAGCAACAATATCCTGACTAAATGAAAAAGATGATTTGGGGTTTGAAGAACGGTGTTCCGAGAGGAGAACAAATCTGCTTGATTGATTGGCCAAAAATCACGGAACTAATGCGTGAAGTTTTATCAAAAACAAATGGAAAAGGAGAAGTTATTGTTGTTGAAGATAGCAAATTGCGTTTGTCAATCCAAGGAGTCTTCAAGAACCATATACACAAAAAATCTTAATTATGTGATCTCTTATTGTTAATTCTTTATATATTTACAATTAATCCATTAAACACTCGTTCATTTAGTACGTTCAGGGGGGGGGGGATTAAATAAGATCTGAACAATTGAAATTCGTGGAATTCGAACGAATTATAGATTTAAACGAATTATAGAAATAACATAAATAAAAGAAACAAAAGAAATATCAAAAACACCTAAATTTTGAAGAATTTTTCAATCTTTTTTTATTTTCAGTTTTACAATTAATGTGAATTTAAAGTATGAGATTAAAAAGCTATATGTATAGTGTAAAAAGATTGGTATTTGTATATTGTAAGAAGATAGCTATTTATGTAATGTTAGAAGACAGCAACTATTAGATAGCTAGATGCATGGTTCAAAAAGTTAATAAAAAGCTGGTTGAATAATTAAAATGTAGCTAGTTAAAAGACAGCTTAAAGACAGTCTGTAGACTAGTTGCAGTAGACTGTCTAATAGGGGCGGACGTCGCAACTCTGTGTCTAGACATAAAAGTTAGTTTTAAACTAGTATATAGAGAATTCGTAGCTAACTGTGGATTCGCTATATACTAGATTTTGGTCACTGGGGCAAGACAAACATGCAGACAACAACAATCATTGATTAATTGATATTGAAAAGATTGAAGATTATAAATTAAAATCTAAAGATAAACATTTAAGAATAAACTTTAACTTTTGACTTACTCTGAAGAATTGTCCTGATTAATTGAAAATGTTTTTGTAAATTTGCAGAGGAACAAAAAGAATAAGCTCCAACCAATGCTTTACTATAAATCCCCTTGATGCCATTTTACCGATTCTACTCCTCTTACTGATGTATTGAACATTAACAGACCAAAATCTAAAATAACAAATCATGTCGATTTCATTAAGATTTTTTTTTACTATAATTAAATTCATGGATATTCCTTTATTCCTGAAACAACGCTTTAAATTTATACAATAAAGTAGAAAACTAGTTTTTCTTATCAATTTTTAAAAGATGCTATTTTTTATAACATAAGTTAGAAAACTGGATTTTCAATTTACTAGGATTTGTTGTGAAAAAAGAATCCATATAAATGTTTACGACCAAACTATCCATTTAAAACAATTCTGGATATGCTTCTGACTTGCAGTCATCAACGTTATAGTTTGATGAATAATTTTGGCAAATATCAAAGAACATTTAGTAATAAAATTTTCTTAAATTGTCTGTCTCAAGAGCTTAATCAGATTGTAACTTTAATTTTATTTTTGTCACGATTGACTCAAGATTTCATATTCACACAAATTTTCAATTTTTTCTACTTTTGTCTTTGATCATCATGTTTAGGAGATGCGACAAACATTGATTTTAGTTTACAAGGATATAAAAGTGGATACAATTTATTTTTGATTCTTTCAATCAAAAGACATCGGACAGAAGAGACTTCACGAAAACCATCTGTGAGCAGTTAAATATTCGTTTGTTTTTATAAAAATACGTGTTAGCTTAAATTTGAATTCGACATACTTAAAATCAAATGATCAGTGCTGTTTATTAAATTGTGGACATAAAAACAGCTAACTTTAAGCTAGTTAATCTTTGATATTGTGGTATTATAAACAAAAGAGCTTTTTAGAATAGTTAATTTCTGGAAAAACCATAATTAGTCACGATTGGATGTGAAAGATGACATTTTCAAGGAATATAATTAACATGGATCAATCCTCAAACAATAAATTAAGATTCTGAATTCTTCCAGAAACATTCTTTAAATATTGAAAGCGTAAATCAATTAATATGGAAATCAAATTCAGAAATTTGAACACTTTGAAATTTGTTAAAAGAAGTTGTCAATTTTGTACATTCCAAAAACGTCATTTAACACCACCCAGAAAACCCTGGAAAACCGGAAAAATCAATCTCAGAAAGTAAAATATTTTGCTTTTTAAGAATATTCCTCGAATTGGTGTTGTATGCAAATCTAAACAAAAATGACAGTTTTTACGACTGGATTGTACGAGATTTGTGCAATCTAGTTGGTTGAAACTTATACAGAACTTCAACTTTGGCTTTTAGATTGTTATCAGAATGTTTTACAAAAAAAAAAAATATAGAATTCTTAAAAGGTGATAAAAGTTGACTTAATTAAATGTTCTAGAATAACATTTCCTATTGGATAGAAAAGTGATAAAGCTTGCAAATGTCACAGATTAACAACATCTTGAATCTTCAATTCGCCAGAATTTCAAATATCTTTTGATAAATGACTTGAATGTTAAAACACTTAACAGAGTTGATACTTGGTGCCACTAGTGAACTTTGTATTTTTTATAATAATTAGACAGCTTTTTAATCTTTATTAATTATTTTAGTATGAGTTTCAATATTTTAGCGGCACTGATCATAACTTGAATTTGATTTTCTTTCGGAATTATTAATCAATTGTTGATCAATTTAATTTAACTTTCATTGTGTGAAGGAAAAAAGTTTTGCCGCACATCTGACTCAGGAAGCAGAACAAAATTTAAATATTCGAATAATATTAAATAAGGAGTGATCTTTAACCAATAAATATGGGGAAATCAAGTTTATCAAAGAAATTGAGAGGAATGCTGCCAAATATTACAATAATGCTAACTGGTATTTTGCTGACGATATTTTGGCCAAACATATGGAATCACATTCTTTTCAAGGTAATCATGACTATAATGTTTTTGATTATTCAATATTTTTTGTATTGAGGCATATGACGTGTATTGTTAAAATATGGAATTTCTTTTGCAAAACTGTCATTCAGCTGTTTTACCACAAATTCATGATCAGATATTTATCTGACGTAAGGATAACATTATTACTCGTACAAGGTCACAATATTCTGCTTGATTTTAAATCATTGGCACTGAAAACAAGTTAAAAGATATAACTCCGGTTTTCGTAAAAATAAACTTCTTTTTTCATTAAGTTTAATGAACTCTTTCAAAATATTCTGGATTTAGATAGAACTTAACTTTAACAAAAGTTTTCTCATTTATCCTTAAAGCAATTTGAATTAAAACCTGGAACATTCATACACAAATCTTGGAAAGATCAACCACTACAGCACATCGATATTTATTTTTTTAATTGGACAAATCCTGAAGACTTTACAAATCATTCAATTAAACCAAAATTTGAAGAAGTTGGACCGTACAGATATGAGTTGCGAGTAAAGAAAGTAAATGTTACTTATCATGATAACTCAACTGTTAGCTATAAAAAATTACAACGGTTTAATTTCCTTCCTGATCAAAGTCGTGGAAAACTGACTGATCTCATTACAACTCCAAATATAATAGCACTATGCGCATCGAATCAAGCAAATTCTTTCAATATTTTTAAACTTAAAGGAGTTGAGATGAGTTTAGCATTTTTTGGACAAGAAATTCATGTGACAAAAACATTATCAGAAATGCTTTTTGAAGGATATGAAGACTCAATGGTAGCAATTGGAACAGAAATTGGTAAAATTATGGGATATGAAGTGCCATTTGAAAATCGATTTGGTTGGATGCACAAGGTTTGTTGATTAAGAAATTTATTGGATATCCGCAAATTCCTAATGAATTCTTTCTAGCGAAATGAATCAACAGTTTTGAGTACTCTTTATACTGTTGACACAACAACATCAAATTTAGATCAACTGAGATATTGGACAGGACTTTTTAAGCCAAAATTTTTAGAAACAAATTGTAGCAGCTATATAGGAGCATCCGGCGGTGAACTTTTCCCACCTGACTTGATAAAAAGTAACAAAAAAGTATCACTTTATAGTGAGGATATGTGTAGAAACCTTGATTTAGATTTTGAGCAAGACACTGAAGTAAATGGAATTGCTGGAAAGAAATTCATCAGTGGAGAGCGAATGATTGATAAGTAGGGGTTCCCTTAACTTTATATCTGGCTCAATACTTAACTGTTCATCTTTCAATTGACAAATTTCAGCGGAACTAAATTTCCAGATAATGCATGTTATTGCAATGGTGAATGTGTACCATCAGGAGTCCTTAACCTAACATCATGTCGATTAGGAAATCCTATGTTCATGTCATATCCTCATTTCTTTCTTGGAGATCAGTTCTATTTGGATCAAATTGAAGGAATGAACCCAATCAAAGAAAAACATGAATTTTATACAATTTTAGAACCGGTATGAATCAGTATGAATAATAAATCTAAAGCTAATTAAATTATGAATAATAAATATTTTGAATGTTTCAGACAACATCACTTCCGTTGGAGGCAAAAGCAAGAGTTCAATTAAACATCTTAGTAAAACCACTTCCAAGGATTAAAATGTACCGAAATGTTCAAACCAAATTTTTGCCGATCTTGTGGGTTGAGCAATCTTTTGAACTCGATAATCAAATGACTTTTATGGTGAAGTTAATGCTGTGGACTCCATTTATTGGACAAATGATTGGCTGTGTAACAATAATCATCAGCACATACCTGATTTATAAATTAAGTCAATCAAGTGTGAAGGAGGAAAAACAAGAATATATTGATGAGAACGATAACAATAAGGAAATCAAAAATAAGAAACTTCCCGAACTATCTCCTTTAGTGAAAAGCATCAACAATAATAATAACGAATAGTTAAAACTTGCATTAATGTTAATAATAAGTTAAGGAATCGAAAATCTTTTATTTAAAAAATGTACAGCAAATGTTTGAAATCGTCATTAAGCAATAAGAACTGTGATTTCTAAATGCTTTTGAAATCTTTAATCAGAGAGTATTTAATATTGTATCAGTATAAAGTGATTTAAATAAATTCTTCTACGTTTCAGTTGATCACTAATTAGTTTTTTGATTTAATAATTTGAGTTAAGAATCTTCAATTATTCAAAACAAAATTGTTTGTAAAGTTTCAAACGAATCACAGAAATTGAATTTCAACAAAACGATGTTTTTATCATTTCATGTCATTTCTGTCTTTAACATTTTATACTCTAATCCACTCGCATGATTAATTTTTAAGCTATTTCGAACATCTTTTAGAATCAAAATTGGTGATTTTAATGTTTTGGTAAACAGTATGAATCTCTTAAAGATAGTTTACTAACAGATATGGTTCAACTTCTTCAAATTTTGTGATTGATAAATGATTCAAAAAATTTCAGGATTGGTCCAATTAAAAAAGTAACAATTTGTCTTTCTCATGTCAATATTTGCACATTAATTGCCTGGTTTTAATTCCCATTACTTTAAATATAAATAAATGAAAAAAAAAAAATTCTTTATTCAAAATATGTGTGTTTTATGGAAAACTGCTGTTCGTCAGTCGTATCATTCAACGAAAATTTCTTTATTTTAACATTGTCAATATTTTAATCATTTGACTGTACTGTAGACAGTTTAAAACAATGACAAAAAGAATTTCGCAAGATTATGCTAGGTTGAATTAGAAAAGATTTTGGTCAATGATTTAAATCTTTTAATTTGTTGAATAATTTCACCATGTTCGCCAAATATTAAAGTCATTTTAGTATCAAAATAATAATTAAGAATGAAAACTTACCTTGAATAGAATATGATCAAAAATCTTAGGCCAAAATAAAACCAATAAAATTCCAAACAGCGTCAATATAATGTTGAAAGCTAACTTCTTCCAGTGCTCAAATAATTTTTCTTTTGCTCTCATTTCTGTCTGTTATTTATATATCCACTTCTGTTTTTAAAAAGCTGATAAAATAAAATATATAATTTTAAAATATCACATCTTATCATTTTGAAAAGTTTATCAAGTGTGTGAGCATGTAAAAAATTAGTGTTAAAAAAATTAAAATTATTTGTCTAATTTGATTTTGCCTTTAAAATTTCAAGTTTTCTTAACTTTTCATCATTATAATTTATTTAAGTTATCATTATTTAAAATTATCAAGTTGAATTAATCAAATGAGGATTAAATTAGATCATATAATTCGGACGATAAAAGCCTATCTAAGAGAAATACATTCAATTAAGGAAAAAAGATCAAAAATAAAGTTAAACAAGAATTTTTTTTAATTCAAACTTTAGAACTTTCGGTCTGAATTTTATTAATTTAAACTAAGAATTATTAGCTTCCGCATTTAAATTTTAACTAGATTTTGATTTTTGCTCCTTCATTTAAACTGAAATTTTTAAAATCCATCTGGTCTAGTGATAATATATTGAGAAATCAGGTTGATTTGCAGAAATGATCGAGTTTTTGTTCATCATATTTTTTTTCACGTTTTATCTTTCTTTCGGAATTATTAAACAATTGTTGAAAAATTTAATTTATTTTTTGTGCAAGTAGGACCTGGTACTTAGGATATCGAGTTGCTGAGTGAAAAGTTTAAGTGAATTAACCTTAATTATAAGTGATTGAATCTAAAAACTATTAAAATGGGAAAAGTAAAAATGTATAAAGAAAAGATAAGAATGCTTCCAAATATTGCATTAATGCTGACTTGTGTTTTGTTTACATTCTTTTGGCCAAACATATGGAATCACATTCTTTTCAAGGTAATCATGACTATAATGTTTTTGATTATTCAATATTTTTTGTATTGAGGCATATGACGTGTATTGTTAAAATATGGAATTTCTTTTGCGAAACTGTCATTCAGCTGTTTTTTTACCACAAATTGATGATCAGATATTTATCTGACGTAAGGAAAACATTATTACTCGTACAAGGTTACAATATTCTGCTTGATTTTAAATCATTGACACTGGAAACAAGTTAAAAGATATAACTCCGGTTTTCGTAAAAATAAACTTCTTTTTTCATTAAGTTTAATGAACTCTTTCAAAATATTCTGGATTTAGATAGAACTTAACTTTAACAAACGGTTTCTCATTTATCCTTGAAGCAATTTGAATTAAAACCTGGAACATTCATACACAAATCTTGGAAAGATCAACCACTACAGCACATCGATATTTATTTTTTTAATTGGACAAATCCTGAAGACTTTACAAATCATTCAATTAAACCAAAATTTGAAGAAGTTGGACCGTACAGATATGAGTTACGAGTAAAGAAAGTAAACATCACTTATCATGATAACTCAACTGTTAGCTATAAAAAATTACAACGGTTTAATTTCCTTCCTAATCAAAGTCGTGGAAAACTGACTGATCTCATTACAACTCCAAATATAATAGCACTGTGCGCATCGAATCAAGCAAATTCTTTCAATATTTTTAAACTTAAAGGAGTTGAGATGAGTTTAGCATTTTTTGGACAAGAAATTCATGTGACAAAAACATTATCAGAAATGCTTTTTGAAGGATATGAAGACTCAATGGTAGGAATTGCAACAGAAATTGGTAAAATTATGGGATATGAAGTGCCATTTGAAAACCGATTTGGCTGGATGCACAAGGTTTGTTGATTAAGAAATTTATTGGATATCCGCAAATTCCTAATGAATTCTTTCTAGCGAAATGAATCAACAGTTTTAAGTTCTCTTTTTACTGTTGACACAACAACATCAAATTTAGATGAACTGAGATATTGGACAGGACTTTTTAAGCCAAAATTTTTGGAAACAAATTGTAGCAGCTATATAGGAGCATCCGGCGGTGAACTTTTCCCACCTGACTTGATAAAAAGTAACAAAAAAGTATCGCTTTATAGTGAGGAAATGTGTAGAAACCTCGATTTAGATTTTGAGCAAGACACTGAAGTAAATGGAATCGCTGGAAAGAAATTCATCAGTGGAGAGCGAATGATTGATAAGTAGGGGTTCCCTTAACTTTATATCTGGTTCAATACTTAACTGTTCATCTGTCAATTGACAAATTTCAGTGGAACTAAATTTCCAGATAATGCATGTCATTGCAATGGTGAATGTGTACCATCAGGAGTCCTTAACCTAACATCATGTCGATTAGGAAATCCTATGTTCATGTCATATCCTCATTTCTTTCTTGGAGATCAGTTCTATTTGGATCAAATTGAAGGAATGAACCCAATCAAAGAAAAACATGAATTTTATACAATTTTAGAACCGGTATGAATCAGTATGAATAATAAATCTAAAGCTAATTAAATTATGAATAATAAATATCTTGAATGTTTCAGACAACATCACTTCCGTTGGAGGCAAAAGCAAGAGTTCAATTAAACATCTTAGTAAAACCACTTCCAAGGATTAAAATGTACCGAAATGTTCAAACCAAATTTTTACCGATTTTGTGGATGGAACAATCTTTTGAACTCGATAATCAAATGACTTTTATGGTAAAGCTAATGCTTTGGACTCCATTTATTGGACAAATGATTGGCTGTGTAACAATAATCATCAGCACATACCTGATTTATAGATTAAGTCAATCAAGTGTGAAGGAGGAAAAACAAGAATATATTGATGAGAATGAAAACAATAAGGAAATCAAAAATAAGAAACTTCCGGAATTATCTCCATTAGTTAATTGTAAGAATATTAGCAACGATAATGATAACATTTATAAATAGTATGTTACTGATTTGTTAAAACATAATCTCAAGTGTTTTTAATTCTTTATTTTTTAAACGTTTTATTTGTCTTCTAAAAGAGATTTTCCTAAATTTATTAAGAATTTTTCAAAAATGCAGAATCTCCTTCAAGTTATGCAAAATTTACATCGCGTAGAAACTTATTTTAATTTTAATGTTCTGTAGATTTTCGTGAAGATGTTTATTCTTCTTTACTGTTTATTTTCAGAACTCGGTCAAGCTATCATGATGCTCTTGAACTTCAAATCTCCTGAACTTAAAATACATAGCATAAATATTTATTCCTGATTGATTTTTAAAACTTAAAATACAATCCTTATCAAGATCGGTTAAAAAACCTACTTAATTTAACTATTATGAAACGAAACACAAAAATGAATTTATTATAACAGACAATGCAAATATGTGATAAGAAACAAAATAATTGAGTAACTCATATGCTTTTGAGGAACTTTAATATTCTTTTAATTAATTTTAAATAAGTCTTTGTTGCATCATTGAGATACTTCCGTTTTTTATTATTATCAAACTTTTCTGATTTGATTATGTTTCTGAATTTAAAGATACCGAACCTTTCAAAATTATCAAAAACTTTAAATCTCTGTGAAATTGAGTGAGATAATGATTTGTTTTGATGATCAATTAAAAAGTGTTTGACATAAACAAACTAGATATTGCGTCATTAGAACACAACACAATAAAAGTGATTGTAGATCATCCAATTAACTCACACTTTTAAAATTTTAAATGCATGTACGCATCTGCAATAAGGTTTGTTGCTTTTTATCTATGTAATGTAACGCACACAGTCATGTGCGTAAGATCAATTCTCAAATTGAGAATTCAATTCTCTCACGAAAGTAACAAAATAATAAGGTATTAAGATTAGAGAGGAGAGAAACATCTGTGTGTACGGTACTCGGCATATTTCTTCTAGTGTTATTAATAGTTCGCTAAAAATCGCAGCAGAAAGTCTGTCTTTTTACATATTTTTTCACTTACAATTGTGCACGAAATTTTCGCAAAGTCAAAAATCGTGTAAAAAGTCGTATAAATACAATCACAAATAACAACATACGATAGATGCACATGCAGCACTTACATATGCAACTTGTTGTGCATAGAATGAATGCAAAAGAAGAGAGCAAAAGAGTTCTTTTAGTGGTTGAATTAAATTTTTGTGTATTTTCCTGTACATCCAGTTATAAAAATATGTGAATGAAAGAATTGAAAAAGTTCCAGTGCTAATACAATTTGTGATCATTGCTACGTAGAACATTCGTGTATATTTTTATTTTTTGACTTTTATTAATTTTCATCAATCTGACGATCAGAACGAAAGAGAGCGAGCAACGTGTGAGAAAGAGAAAAAAACCCGATACACAAATTTAAAGGAACTGATCGAGAAGATACAAACAGACGAGAAAGAAGACAATGCAAAATTGCAGACGAAGATAGCGAATGCGTATGCGGCATTTTCATATGAATTAAATAGTCTTCGTCGTCGTGTGATTATTTGTTCTAACATTCGAGAGACTGACTGAGAGTAAGTAACGCATGACCTTACCAATTTCTCGCATTCTTGATTGTTATTATTTGACATCTTAGACGAGATTCTTCATCTTCGTTTACAAAATTTAATTGAATATTATTCAATTACAATATGACACATAAAAGTTCTGTATCATAATGTCTTTATTTGCAGTATTCTTCGGTCTGTGCTTCTGATCAGTCGTGCCTCCAACTCCGTCCTCCTGTGAACAAAAAAACAGTGAATTTATTTATTTAATTTAAGAATAGTTTGTGTTAAGTGTTAAGTCATGGGAAATTTTAAGGATGAAAATGGAAATGCTGAGAAGTTGGCGAATGGAAATCCTCAAAAGTTTCATGAATCAAAAGCCGAAAAGGCTGAAAGATTTAAGTCCTTGTATATAGTCTATTTTACATTATTCCTACAATCTTTGGGACTTGCGATTGCAATGACTGGAATTTGGCCTTATCTCAACAAAGTGAGTGATTTAAGTTTTATTTTCGGTTCTGTAAGTTGAGATGTGAGGAAATTTGATCATTAACGTGATAAATCAAATTATTTCCGAGAACTGCCTCCAATTCGCTGTGTTTATGAAGCTTAATTGTCATATCTTGATCAAAATTGTATTAAATTTAATTCGAGTGCCGCAAATAAAATTGAAAATTATAGATCTTACCGCATCTGTGAGGGAAATAAATTTTCAATTATTACTTGTCGTGTAGTGAACCCGGCTGTGGTTAAGCGAGTTTATTGGAAGTTTAACTAATTGCATTTGGATAAATTTCTTTCATGAGGAACTAATTTGTGTGTTTTAAGTCACATTAATCCTTATTTGCATGAGGTAGTTGAGTTTGGAATCTAGATTTGAAGAATTTGAGTGACTTTTGTTAAAGATGTCTACAAATAAATAAATATCCAAAAATGCTTTTGAATTCAACTTAAATAAAATTGCGCTTTATTGAAATGTTAAAGTTCTGGATGCAGCATTTAATAGAGCTATAAAACCTTAAAAAATCAACGATTTGTTGACAATAAAATTTTGAAATTGAGTTTAATGCCTCAAAAATTCAACTTAATCTCATTACTCAATCAAGTGGCTATTAAATTGAAGCCAATGAATGTAATTTTACTTGATATTATTTTTCATATTTGTTTTGTAAGAATCTGTTGATAACGTCAGTCATATTCTCATTGATCATACTACGATTATTTCCTAGATCAACATTTAAAATTTGTATTGATCAGTATTTATTAAAAATTATGAATTAAAAAGGAGCATCTCGAAAAACTTCTGAAAAGCAAAGTTTGTCCATCAATTGAAATAAAATTAAGCTTATGCTACATTTGTAAGACAAATTATGAAATTTGTTACATTTTCTAATCTGATTTTGGTTACAATTATTTAGAACAAGACACCTCCAAGTCTGAATTTGATCCTCTTTGATGAGAGATACGTTTTTTTTATGTGCGGATGACAACCTATTAAAATGCATTGTAGCGTCTCCAATTCAGCTTGGTCGCAATAAACAGCTTGTAAGACAATATAAAAATAATAACATCGTATACAGTATTCTAAGTCCATCAAAAAATTTCATAAAATTCCGCAAATGTCAAACACCCAAAATATTGCCATTTTTCACAAATAACTGTAGCTTGGGAAATTACAAAATTAATATCAATTAAATAGAACTTTTATAATTTTCACTATTTACTGTTTTCTACCCCTGATAGCAAGGTCGTTAACAGCACAAAAAACAGCTTAGTCAATTAAAAAATTGTATATTTAAGTTTTCTTCATTCAGCATAGAAAGCTTCAACTTCAATATTTGTTTTTTTAAAGGTTGAATGCTCAAAAGTTGCATTTTTCTTGCTAATTCATGAAAAAATTCATTTCTTTGCAATTTAAAGTAACGGCTGTTTACATAAAGACTGCTGCATTTGACATGTGCATAAATGAGAATATTCATCAGACAGTCAATTAAACTCTGTAATTTGTCGATTGGTCTACCTCCTCAATAAGGCGACTATCTGCAAATTAATGCATGCTGGAAATTAATCAACTCAATTAACAGAAGTATGATTGACACGCGTTCACTGAAATTGTTCTAGAACTATAAAAGTTGTGTGATCGAGTAAAAAAGCCTATAAATTTTGTTGATTGCTGATTTATGATGTTTAATGTTTTAAACGTGTGACGTTCTATTGAGTTGTTCGTAAATGACGTTAATCTAGAATGTTTTTTGTAAGCTTGTTTGCCCCAAACACTCCTGCTTGATACGTAGCCAGTAAAAGGTTAGATTTTAAAAACCTTAGATTCTGAAAAGAATATTCTCAATTTCCTGAATGAAGTATCTGGTTGTAAGCTTCATTTTAAGTTCATTTGTTAGATTTGATCATATTTGATAACCACAATGCTTATAAGTTTAAGTAAAGACTTCTCACGGGAAGGAGAAAACAACTAAATATATCTGGAAATACAATTTGAATATTAAACGTCAGTTAATTTATTCTCAACATTATTTGATTTCAAAAAGTACCAAGTTTCCATCCAAAAACTTAAAACTATGATTAGTGTGTCGTATCCCCTCTGTTTGAGCACCTAAGCATTACAGTGGTTTCAGAATAATTCATACATCCAACTTCTCCATTCGTAAACGACCCGAAATTCCATTAAACTGATTCTAATGCCAACTCCAAAATTGAATGTCGAAAGAACAAATGAGGTTCATGCAAATTCAAGTTTATGTGTTCAAATTAATTTTTGTTTCTTTCTTCATCTTCCTTTATGCTCCAAACCAGATATAATTTCACAAAGTTCATCTTAAAGGAATTCAACATGTCAGTCTTAAATAATTTACAACCCACTGTGTTGCCTTTTTGAATTTAAGGTATTTAATGAGCGAATCAGACAGATTTTTAATTCAAATGCAACATTGCAGATGAATATTCTTTCGGACCGCAGGTTCCTTTTTATGAATTTATAGTGTCTGTAATGCTTGATGCTGATCGTTAAGATTCTCCTAAAGCTGAAAACATTTTTTATCATTAATAATTCTGACAACTACAAAAAAATTGTCTTCTTCTTGACGAGAATCGCGTGACGAAAAGAAAACATTCTTTTCTCCTTGATATCTGGTCGGGTGTAGTGTGTTTATAAATTATATATGTCACGATCAAATTAAATTTAGAAGTCAAAGCGTTACAAGTTGAACTGACACATTCAGTTAATTGAAATCTAATATTGTGTCATACGATTGAATTATGTGATGCTTTTATGGGATTTTATGATTTATAAAGTAGATTTTAATGCTTCTTATCACTGGATTGAACTAGTCACAAATCAATGAAAAGCCATCAACATTTAAAATGTTCAATCAAGAGTTCAAATAGATTGTAAATTGCCTAGCTTAATAGAGTCTTTATCTTCTACTTTAATATAAAATTGACAATCACTGACTGACAATAAAAACATTCGAGCCTAAGCACGTGAAAATCAGTGCCCTTTTAGTGCTACATAAATATTTTTATTCAATTAATCGATAAACTAGTAAAAAATGATTTATCTCAATTGTAAATTGTCAACGATTCTCAAAATTCAATTGACTATTGGAAAAATCCATAAACTAGAACTATTAAGTCACAACAGCTGTTTCTGATTGAATTATGCAAATTGGTTCCTAAAAAAAAGTAAATTTCCATGATCTTGTTGAATTTGAGTAGCGCGTAGACATAGATTGAATGATTACATACTAATTTTTTACTTTCATGACTCATGTATGCTGCAGCTCGATCCATCGTCAACCAAAGGCTTTTATTCAATAATTGTCGCTGCAAATCCACTTGGTCAATTTATATTTTCTCCCCTAATTGGTTTCTGGACGAACAAGTCGACGTCAATACGAGTTCCAATTATCGCATCTCTAGTTATTTTCATGATATCAAATGCCTTATATACATCGCTTGATTTAATTGAAGACGGGGTCAAATATTGGATGTTAATCATTCGATTTTTTACTGGCGTGGCTTCTGCGAATATTGCTGTCGGACGAAGCTACATTTCGGCTGCAACAAAAGTCGATGAACGAACGCATGCACTGTCAATGGCTTCACTTGCTCAAGTAACTGGATTTATTGTTGGACCGCTTTTGCAAGCATTATTTACGACCATTGGAGATGGCTTTCAATTGCCTGGTGGAATGATGTTCAGCATGTATACAGCACCAGGTAAAATAATCAATGATTTTATGTCCATTTGAAATATTTCTCATTAATCTTCCATTTAAGGATGGGTCAATGTGCTTTTTGGTGCTGCAAATATCATAATATTAATGCCTCACTTCTTCCAAGACCACAACATTGCTGTACGCGAACAAATGTTCATCCAAGGAAAGGAATCAGCAAAAGAAACATGGAAGAGTGTTAAGCTTGATCAAGGAATCATTTGGTCATTAATTTTCTCATACTTTATCGTTGCATTTAATCTCGTTATTTTGGAGAGTCTGGCAACTCCACTAACGATGGATCAATTTGCATTTTCACGAAAGGAAACATTAAAATGGAACGGGATTCTTGTTGGAATTGGTGCTTTAGTGTCGTGTATAATATTCGGGCTGCTTCCGCGTGTCTCAAAAATGTATAAAGAAATTGACATTCTTATATGGGCTGGGCTGTTTGTTGCTGTTCTTGGAAAAATTCTTTACATTCCGTACCGAAATGATTCGCCGAAACTTGCTGTCGATAGAGAATATATGGATGCTAATGGAACTATATGTTATTATGAGGATGATCATCCAGAAGTTTTGGGTGAGTTTTGATTCTAATTTGGGGTAATTGGCTTGCGGGGTTGTTCATAAATGATGTCATTTTTGTTTCTAATGCAGGATGTCCAATTTCGACACAGCCTTGGTGTGCAGATCAGCCAGCTCTTGGAATTCCAGAATTCGTTATTGGATATTTTCTTGGTGTCATTGGGTAAGTTAATTGGTTAATTGTTTTAAGGATGATTTTATGTCTGATTGATGATTATTTAATTAAAAATCTAGTTATCCAATTGGAGTGACCTTAATTCAATCACTTTTTTCGAAGACACTGGGAGCTCGACCCCAAGGAACTTGGTATGATCAATTGATTAATTGCTGTAAAATTTAAAATTGATATTATTTTTTTGTGTCTGCAATTTTAGGATGGGAATAATGTTAGCATCAGGTTCGATGTCACGCATTGTTGGACCATTAATTGTTGTTGGATCATATACTTCATTTGGAACTGGATGGACTTTCGGATGGATTACAATCTTTATGATGATTCCAATTGCTTTATTGTATGTTTTAAGACATCGACTTTCGTTGGAGACTCCTAAGAATTTAGATTTAGATATGGCCAATAATAATCCTCAGTCAGCGTAGTTTTAAGTTTTATTGATTGACTCAATGTATGTTGAGAAGATAATTTCCATAGGAACTAGTGATGTAAAAGCTTAGTATTAGTGCCAAGTGCCTCCTTTAAATTTTACGTACACAAATTTTTTAAGATTTAAAATTAAGACTAAAATTGCACAAAATAAAGTAAATTTTTATAGTTTAATAGTTTATTCAGTCATTATTATTATTTTTTCAATTTTTTTTACAGTTGTGAAACAAAGTTTTTAATTTTTACATATTTTTTTGCATCTCATAAAAAATAATTCAAGAGCGTTCATAACTTAATTGTGCTTACTCGAGCCGACTGAGTACGTCAATATTTAATCACATGTGAGAAAATTTACAAAATAATCATAATCCGCAAGCTTGTCATTTGCAAAAAAAAACAACAACACACAAACAAAATAACACATTTCATTTGATAAAATTCAACATTTATTTTCACTTTGTTTCAAATATTCACAATGTTTTTTTTTTATTTTTAATAAATTTCAAGAGGAAAAATTCTTTCTAAGCATGAAATTTTGGTGAATTATGATCTCAAAAAATCTACCACTTCTTTATTTTTAAAAATTTTGTTTTAAAAGTGATAATAATTTAATCATTATTGTAGGTAATAATTTAATTTATTTTATTATCATCATTAAGGATTAAAATTGAAAATGACAGTTGGAGAAAATTTTGATTCAAATTTATGTCTTTTGAATAACATTTGTATTGTTTTGAAACACAAATGCAGCATTTGGAAACTTTTGTAGGGTTTTAATTTAAAAACATTTGCAAGGTTTCATTTAAAAACATTTGGATGGCTTTGTGAAACATTTGTAGTCTCCAACAGAAATTAAACTGTTGTATGGTTTTCATTTAAAAAGCATTTGGAAGGTTCAGAAACCTTAAAAAACATTTGTGAGGTTTTGAAAATCAATTTTTTTCTATCAAAACCATACAATTCCAAAAATTTTATAAGGTTTCCAAATATTCAAAAACCCTACAAATGCAAAATTACAAGAAAATTAGTAGCTTCTCGGCCAATATTTAGTCCTTCAATTTTAATCCTCAATTACACTCTTCATTTTGATAATTTTTACATTTAAACTTTTTTGAAAAAAAATCGTTAAATACACATAAAAATGATTATTTGGGTCCACTTATCAAACATTACTAAATTTCTTTAAAATCCATTCTTTGCATTTTTTCGTTGACAAGCATGAACAAGAGACTGAATTTCAATAGAAACTTTATCTCGATTACATTGCATTGTAGAGGTAAATTAGAAGAAAATGAATATCAATAGATTTTTTTTTGAAAGTTTAAATTTATCGTGATTCTCACAGTTCTGCTCTCGCTGCTTCCTGTTGTTGCTGCTGCTGCTGTTGTTGTTGTTGTTGTTGCTGTTGATTTAATAATTTTTGTCTCTGATGATCGTAATTTACTAGTCGCTTGCCAACCAAATATTTATCATTTTTAATGGCAATATAAAGTTTCTTGAACTGCTTAATTTGGAAAACTATAATAGCACAGACGATAATGACTATTAGGAAAAATGGATAGATTCGTCGGGCGATTAAGACACGTGTCATTTGATTTGTGAAGAAAATTGGCAATATTGAATGAGCTATGACATATGGAATTGAGAGTGCAAGACCAAATGTTGAAATTATTGGAATCGCTAGTTCTCGTATAATGAATTTTAAATCCATTTCTCTCAGTCCATCCCGATAAGCTTGTTCAATTGCTCGCTTAAGTCTGAAATCGGGACCCATGAATATAAGAGCGCATGCTATTTTTGTATAAAGCACACCGAGTGCCCAATCTTGCCATAAAAATAAAACTGGTGTCTGATTTAGAGGAACTCTTAATGGCACAACAACAACAAGTTCCAATAAAAGTCCAAACATAAGTGGAACGACTCCGAGCATCAATACAAAGATTGTTGCAGCTAGTCCATAAGAAAATGCGACAGAACACCAATGCTTGAATTTATCCACAATTGCTGCACGTCCTTGTGGGAATAAATTAACGGCTAATGCTATTCCTTTTGATAAAAGCCAACACAAGTAGATTCCAATAGCTGCAGTGTATAATTCGTGTGGCTTTGATGTTGAAACTGTCGTTGGTGTGATTTGTCCTGAATCGCCAATAATTCCAGCATTTCCTGTTTCTATATTCACAACTTTCCCAGCTGCGATTCCCGTACTCATTGACCAAAGTGCCATTGCATGTCGTCCAATCCAAACGGGAACCGTTAAAGTCAATAATGATCCAATTACTAAACTTATGCACATAAATATTAATAATCCAATTAAGCGAATAGCAAATAATGATGGTTTGTCGTATGGTTGAAAGCCAACTGGAACGTCTCGTTGTAATAATGCTTGATGTGCAGCACCTAATCCACCACCGCCAAGTCCTTGATCAGCTGCTGGTCTTTCTTCTTGCTCGACAGGTCGTGGCTCACTGCCTAATAAATAACTTTTAATTCCCAATATCCATGAGACAATATTACACCAAATTCGTATTAATCCTTTCAGCCATATTCTCGTTTGTGATTGCTCAAAAAATCCAGGAAGAATGATTTGTAACAAAAGGAGTTGAAGACTTAATTCATTCACTTCGGAATCACCGGACAATGTGTATGGGAGGAAGGTTGGATATACAACTTTCAATATTTTTATTGGAAGCCATAACATCAGCAAAACAGCTGAGCCGAAAATAATTGCTGATGCAATCAAACGTCGTATGTGTCGAAGAATCGATAAATGAATCATTTCCTGTGAAAATAAAAAGTATTATGAAAAACCGTTAGAAATATATTTGAAAAATAACGAACTTTCATAATTTCAAATGTTTTACAAAATGTTGAACTCCATTTAACCGTTATTTTTCAAACATTTATTTAACGGATTTTTTTAAGGACCTACCTGAATCGGCGAAAAATCAGGATCATTTAAATTCCGTAAGAACCATAAGACACCAGGACGCAAGACTTCCCTAAGTAGTACAATAAAAGATGCAAAATAATATACATAGACCATTCCAAACATCCAGTGAATGAAAATAGATGTTCCTGGTGCACCTTTAAAGCTCGCCTTACGATCCTTAAGTGTAGCATCAAACATTGGTAAACTGCATATATCAAGCCACCATCCACAAATTAAAGGCAATACACCAATTTCTACAACTGATAACAATGATACTTTCACCACAATATAACATAATCCAAGTATTCTCCTCGGTCTGCGTAGCTTTAATATTTTTGCGATAGCGTGTAGATTAACTAGAGCAACTCCCACAAGACAATATCCACATAATGTAGTCACTAAGCCATGAAAGTGTAGCTGTTTAATTCCCAAAAATGATATTGCAAAGTTTCCAATTGTGTAGGGTAGGAAGGCGAAAATAAATATAAAGAGCGTATCCAAGCTAACGACCCAAAAGACATGTTCAAGGAACACCATAGATCCATCTAATCCAAGCAATCTTTCCCATGTTAATTCTAGTTCTGCATTATTAAATTCCATTGGATTCCAAATTCCTTCATTTACATCGTCATTATTATTAATATTATCAGCCGGCTCATTATGGTCTTCGTCATTGTCAGGTATAGGCGGTTCTGCATTATTAATTGGATTGTGTTGTGGAATTTCATAAATTTGTGGATTTGGAGGATCAGGAGGTGGCTGTGGGGGCAATTGAGGACCAATAAATGGCTCATTCTCATCAATAGCTTGAAATCCATGAATATTAGCATCAAGGACATTATTGTTGTTGTTATTATTGAATATCTCTTCATTATTATTGCCATTTTCATCGTCAAGTGGCTCTTGAAGGTTGTCTGCTTGTGGTGGTGGTGCTGGCCTTGGAATCTCATCGTTCACGACATTTCCTTCATCTCTTTCAAGCCAATCTGGTCCACCCCCATGAAGAATCTATCAAAAATTGTATAAAGCATGTCATTTAGATTATTTCAAGCATAGACGATGCGTGACTTACTTGTTCTCTCAGCCATACTAGTCCAATGAAAGCAAATAATGTACAAGTCACAACAAAACATCCACGAAACACATCAGCTGCTAGATTTTCAGTTGAGAACATATCGAAAGGAAGTGACACTAACATGTCTAAAGACCCAGAGAAGAAGAACCGATATGTGCGATAAGCAGTTAATGGAACAATACCCAGCCAAGCGACTAAAATGTAACGCCATAAGCAATTATTAGTATATACGATTATGCATAGAGACATGATTATTACCTGCTACTAAAGTGTAGTGTAACCAATATTTAACAGCAGTAGCGACAGAACTCAATAAGCCACCAGCAACGACTCTCAATGGTAAGACTTTTGGCATATCAGGTGAATAAATTGGTGTAAAACTAAACCGATGTCCGCAAAGTTCGCATATCTAGAATAATGTATATAGTAGGACATGACACGAATATCAAACTGCATTGTGCCTGTATTTACCTCTTTTCGACTATATCTCATCCACTGAAGGAGACATTCTTGATGAATATACTTGATACTTCCAGTACATATGCATGGGAAAAATAAAGGACGGTCTAGTTGTGACGAAAACATTAAGGAAGGCATGAAAATTAGTGTCTATGCGACATTTTCTGGATCTCTCAAGGTTTTTTGGAAGTTATGTAAAAATGCGTCGAAATTAGTCAACTGATGTGACCAATAGTGATAATTACCTGCTGATGCTTCTGTCCGACATATCCTGCATTCAGGACTTCCATCCATTGTGTTTATTTTGTAAATATCAATTTAAATAGGGGTAAATTTTTAATTCGATTTTTTGATAATCGATTTTTTATCAATAATTTAACTTTTTACATCATTCTAATTCGATTATTACTTTACTATAAGTCACAAAATTATAACAAAATATATAATAACGTTGTAGTTTATCCGGAACAGAGAGAATTAATTAATTTTTTTAAATAACTCCAACTTTTTTTTCTGTGAATTGTTGATTACCCCTCAAATAATTGGGTCATGCAACTAGCTTTGTTTTTTTGCTCAATTAAGCTTTAATTAGCTACATTTATCAGCTGTACGTTAGACAGGAATGATCAGTGTCTTAAGCATTATCTGCTTTACAATATTCGTACAGTAACTTGACAATAAATTGAAACAAAAATCGTTACACGAAAATTTCAAATTTTTATACCGACAGAAGTAAAATCTGGCAACAGAGCAAGGCAAATAATTTCATCAAAAACAGTGTCCATTAAATAAGGCTTAGAAAAATCATTAAAATCTGAGTTAATTATCATACAAAATGCTTCGCAATATCACTAAATTGAACATCACTAAATCCATCATCGGATCAGCTAGAAGAAATGTTTCAACAACATCCAGATTATCAGATATTTTCAAAGTTCAAGACGAGCAAGATTTTGAAAAGAGAGTTATAAACTCAAAGAATGTAGTTGTAGTTGATTTTATGGCAACGTGGTGTAATCCATGCAAGCTATTAGGTCCAAGGATCGAAACCGTCATCAACGAGCATCAAGGAAAAGTGTCATTAGCAAAGGTAAACAAGGAAGTGCTTTTTGAACTTGAAACATCCAGTCAAGTTTCTTTGTTTCAATTTTTTATAGGTCGATATTGATGAATTGACAGACTTATCACTCGAGTATGGCGTTCAGGCTGTTCCAGTACTAGCAATTATGAAAGATGGAAAGATTACGACTCAAATTGTAGGATTACAAGATATAGATGTTTTAAGGAAATGGGTCAAGAGTAATATCTAAAAGTTTAATTAAAGTACAACACATATAGGAAGATTTATAAAAGTTTTGTCGTTGATTTGTAAATAAATTAGGGAAAAATTGTCTTAATAAAAATAAAAGCTACAGAATGTTAAGAACTAGAGCTTTTTTTGTGTTCACTTCGTTCTCAATGTGTTTTTGAGTGTGATTGGATGTAAGTTGATAGATACAAGGATGAAAATAATATCTATAGTCTCAAAAGTTTTTCAACGGCTTCTTTTGATTCAAATTTTTACGGTATGAAAAATTTGAATTTCCAAACGCACCCTTACCAATTTTTATAACTGTAGAATTAAATTTGAATATCCGAACAAACCTAAAACTATTTTTTAAACGTACAAAAAATTCAAATTTCTAAACGCACTCATCACGTGTTCTTCAAATCAAACCGTCAAAAGATGAATCTACTGCTTTTTTGATGTTCCCCGAAGGTACGAACGAGTATCCAAACAAAGTGAATTATTAAGCTTCTCTTTATGAAACAAGTTTTCAAAAAGATGCCAAAAAGCTTTAAAATTCAAAACTAGCTTCATTGAGCTTTAAAAGCTCACTCGCGAGACCAATTTCGCAAAATATAATTGAGATTGCAAAAAGACTCATCAGCCGTTGATCGTGAGCACAAATAAACATGTCAATTTTCGAATCAATATTGATGATAAGGAATGAATTACTCCAATTAGTGAAACAGACAAACAAAAAGCAGGCAGTTAATTTAATTTTCATGCTCACTCACAAAACTATTATTACTTTTTATATTTTTTCCATATTTTTCGGTCTGTGTCGTCTCACGAAACATTTTATGTGTTGCTGTTGCTTATTTTCTCAAAATTTACTCAATTCTACTAGTGCTCACATGAAACTTAAGTGAATCGGTCACGAAAACGACAATTTTATTTTAATTTACTGTTTTTTTGGCTCGCAAAATGAGAATCTGAAGACTTTTCAGTCAATTGAATATTTAAACGACTTTAAAGATTAAAAACGAATAAAAACAAAAAGTTCACTTGTGGATTTAAAAAGAAATTATTTTGGAGGCTCTCACAGATAGACAATTGCCTTGAGGATATTTTTCTGTCTTTTAACGATCATAACAGAATGAATTATGGACATGACTTCTGTTGATGAAAAAAATCTGAAATTTTAATTCCTATAATCTTAACGAAACGTTTTAAAAGTTATTAAATGGACCTATGAATGCCAATTTCGTGCACGAAAAGTGGACATAATTTAATTCCGATATTTTTTTTGGTGATTATGATGGATGTCTGTATCTCAAGTCACGATACCTAAAAACAAGAGTTTATTTCTTCATATAAAAAGTTTATTTTATATGCAATATAATTAAAAAGAAAATAAACCTGACAGTAAGCATTGTTTTTCGAGTGAAAATCGATTTTATTTTTGCATTGCATAAGTTTCATTTACATACACGCTGCACAAAAGGCGATTACCAGAAGCCGCAAGCTTTAAAAGGATTAAGAACCACACGTAAGTTTCACACAGTTTTTTACAATCTTATTAAATGATTGGGCAGGTTGAATCTATAAAATTTAAAGTCATTAATAACTTTCGCTATCGATTGTGAAAAATTCGACAGTTTCGATGGAAAGTTAAGACCTTGAGGCATCTACACATGTTTATCTGACTTTCTCAGTTCTTTTTTTGTTTATGAAAAACTTTGTGCATGTGTTCAGGGGGTGTCAAAACTGATAAACATTCAACAAAGTTCACTTTGATTTAAATTTCAATTCCAATCGTGATCAATTAAAATCAATTGAATATTGCAGTTCTCGTCATATTTATTTCTTGATAGCTACGTAAGCATTTTTTGGACATATCTGAGGTTCAACAATTCTTTGTGAGAAAATTGTTTGCTTGGAATTAATAAATAAACATTGATGACTCTTTAAAGATTCTGAAATTGTGCTACGAACAAATTGATTTGTATTGCATAGCTCATAGCTGACTAAGATATTGTGTGTAGTCGAGTCAACTAATCCATATAAAATCTTAATCAGACTCTGTCTCAAAGATTGAAGTCTCAATTGTTTTCATTTCAATTTCTACAAAATCGATTTCGAGTTCTATTTCTTTAATTCTTGGGAAGTAGTTAAATAGGAAAGACAATTCAAAATGCGAATATTATTAAAATCCAGAATTAACATTCACCCTCAGTAAGAAAAGCAAAACTTATACACAGAACATTAATAAACTTTATTTTGGAAAAGTTCTAGACTTCCCCTTTTTCGAAGTTGTCAGGATTTTTAAAGAATTTTTCGTTTCCTCTAAATACAATTCTATTTGTGCTTATTCTTTATGTTGGAAAAAATGAAACACTTATAAAAGGGTCGAGTTTAGTAAGTTTCCCAAAGTTTAGAGGTTTGTAGGAAAAAAGGATGATCAGTCAGCTCAACTTTAAACATTTTTTCAAAAAGTTAAGCTTAACTGTTTGAAAACATCTGGTTTATGATTTTGTTGTCATTTGTAAAAGTTTAAATATGACAAATTCGATCGCAAATTAAAATCAGTTTTAGGAAACATCAATTGTGAACAACTCCTAACCTGAAATCTCAAAATAAGTAATGATTTTCACAGAAATGTTTTTCAAGGTCTCCCGCATTACAAACAGCAATATTGCACATTAAATAATGTCATTTACGTATATCTTGATTTACAGTAGTTAATTATTCTCATCTACGAATTGATCAAATCGCAATTTCCCAGAAATTTAAAAGATTTTTCTTGCACATTTTTTCTTTAATTAATTTCTTTCGCAAAACAAAAACTCTTTTTCCTTCTTTTTCTTTTCGCGAGAGTGATTAAAAATAAATTGCTTGTAACTTTCTTGCTTATTTTCAAGAAAAAAATAAAATCTAAATCGGTGAAAATTTTCGTTCGTGTGGGAATCTGTGGGTGATGCTCGAGTCTACGAAGAATCAAGCGTAAAATTTATTTCATATATTTGCCATAGCATCAATGTGATTCATGAGGATCAACAAAAATTTCCCAAATGACAAGTTTGAAGAAAACGAACGAATTAGATCTATTTACAAACGTCATTAAAGTGTGTAAGCTTCATGCCCGAGCTGCACACTATGGTTAATATCATTTTATGCTGTTAAGATGCCTGAAGGCCATTCTTATATCTCTTTAATGTTTTGGTGTAAACATAGCGACACTAGGATCGGTTTCTCAAGTAAAACCTTCAAATACTCTAAGCATATCTAAACATCCAACCAAAGACAACTCAATTATAATACTCGGGTTGCACATTAAGTTTTTTCTGTGACTGTCATCGACGTCGCGAATGTCGTGACCTCGAAAATTCTAAGTTTTATAGTCTTCATTCCCATTTCAATTGACTTTGTTGCTGTAGAATTTGTTCTTGAATTATCATCGACCATGCAAATAAATAAAGAATTCTTTTCCAACGTGTAGCATGCGATGAAATTTTCCCCACAAGTTTGAGGCAGGCACAGAATAATTTTTATGATGAATGAAACAAAAAAAAATCAATGAACTCTTCCTGCTTATACTAAATCCTGATCATCAATGAAATAGATCATAATATAATATTAAAATCAGCATCAATGTGGCCATGAAAAAGGCACGGAAAAAGGCATAGAAAAATAAATTTTATTTTCATTTCAACAAAAAATATTCGAGTGTGGAGGGGAAAAAATAAGGAAAAATGATTGTGTACAGTAATGAATTCAGATCCATTAACGTAATTTTACTTCTTTTTTTTATTTAATTTTGTTTATCGCATTTTGTGATTTATGGTGAGGATTTTTGGCATTAAAGTGTCTAGTGATTGAGGAAAGTCCTTAAGTAATGACTTACTTTCAAATTAAGATAAATTCCTGGATAAATTAATCTTAAGTTAAAGTGGATTAGTAGTTTATTGACTTGTTTATATCCTTATTTGTGTAAGTTAGCTTGTTTAATAAGAGTTGATTCAGATTCAAGAAAAAAGCCATCCCTAGCAGAAATTTACTAGTAATTTACTGAATAACTTTCCATTTGCTATTTGCTATTTACTAGTCAAAATCCGAGTTCAAATCTTCGCCAAAGACCCGCATTTTCACTTGCTAGTTGACTAGTGAATTCGTTTACAATTTAACTAGTAATTTACTAGCAAATTTTTAAAAAATTTAAATGAATATAACCGTTGATTTCCACGTGTTCTTTTGATTTTTGTTATTTGTGTAAATTATTGTAAAAGTATTAGTGTGCACTTAATTAAAGTAACACTAACACTATGAAAAAAATAATAAAAGACTTAATTTAATTAAGTCGAACACTGATGAACGCCCATGCCTCGCGCGCAAATCTGAGGAAGATAAATAATTAATTGAAAGTCACATACAAATTTGGATCGACCTTATAAAGGTGATTTCTGCGCGCTCTTGTGAAGTATATGGCAAATGCCAAATTTAGAACAAAATTTTTTATGACGCAAAAAATTCTTTTTTTGATGATTTTTCGTAAGATTCGAACTTAATCAGATTTGATCAAACATCAAATCAACATCAACATCTTGTGAAGTATATGGCAAATGCCAAATTTAAAACAAAATTTTTTATGATGCAAAAAATTCTTTTTTTGATGATTTTTCGTAAGATTCGAACTTAATCAGATTTGATCAAACATCAAATCAACATCAACATCTTGTGAAATATATGGCAAATGCCAAATTTAGAACAAAATTTTTTATGACGCAAAAAATTCTTTTTTTGATGATTTTTCGTAAGATTCGAACTTAATCAGATTTGATCAAACATCAAATCAACATCAACATCTTGTGAAATATATGGCAAATGCCAAATTTAAAACAAAATTTTTTATGACGCAAAAAATTCTTTTTTGATGATTTTTCGTAGGATTCGAACTTAAGCAGATTTGATCAAACATTTCACATGGTAATTTGCTAGTAATTTGTTATTAAAAAGTAAGTGTAATTTACTAATAGCAAGTTGTAGAATAGAAAGACTAGCATATAATAATAGGATTCTGTATCATGTTTTGTTAGCAAAAAATTCAGATTCGATCTCTGGACTCTGAATCATTGCTAGAGATCAGAAGAGTTTATTTTCAACCGAT